TCAAATGGTTAAAAAAAGAATAGTTTATTGTTTTATAATTTAAAGTTTATTGTCAATTTTTCTTTTAAACATTCTTTGTACAACTTCAACCTTAGGGTTGCAATTTTATCTAATAAATTATTATTATTATTATTATTATTATTATTATTATTATTATTATTGAATTTAAGCAGTTTTATGTGAAATTTTCATTTTTCTCATTCTGGCATTTTCAAAGTGTGAACTTAAACTCCCATGGGCCTGAAGCCTTACGCTTGTTACACATTTCATTTACATTGGTATTACCTGTTGAGCATAATTAAAATTTGATGTTGAATTTGCAGTTAAGCATAATGTACTTTTGCATCAGAATTGACAGTAGCCTGTTTTGTGCATTGTTATTGTCTGCTTTTTGTCTGTACATTTGACAGCTTTGCTGCCTTGTTTTCTACTACTTCAGATGCCAGGCCAGATGGGTTCCTCACTTCGCAGCAAACTTTTACTGTACTACATGTCCTGTACGTCCAATCCCGTCACAGCCGCCAGGTTTTCTTACTGGCTCTCCAGTGTTTTATCAGAAGGTGAGTCGAGTATATGATCCGTAGCAGAGATTGATGACTAGCTCTCAAAGAATTTTTTTAACTTGTTGGTCTGGTCATCAATTTGGTGTTTGAACAGTGTATCCATAAGAATTTAACAAAAGTTACCCTAAGTCATTTGTTTACTAATAAGGGTAAACATGTAAAGGATTTTAGAGAGGTTGGTTCGTTGTACAAGAGTAAAGAATAAATAGATAAGAAAATATATATGTACATTGCAGAAATTCTACATAGTCCATATAGTAAGCGAGGAGAAGAGATTTTAGAAGCACTAGCTAATTTTACAGACTTTTTACAGGTTAGTGATTTCTTATGTGAACTAAAATGACTTCATGTAGCAACATTTAACATATACTTTTTATGTTTTCAGATTCATATTCTGTGTAAGTTCTACTGTTGACATTTGAAATTAATTATACTGTCTACATTTATTTTATCAGTAATTTGTCCTTTATAATTATGGTCAAATAAGAATAAGGATGATTTTTTCAACAGTTTGGTTTTGCCACTAGATGAACTTTATCGTTGTACATTTTCAGGAGAGCGTACCCGTATGTGAAACATTTTTAACCAAATATCTCCATCTCTGGGATGGAACAAGTTACAGGATATACATTTTAGTACTGATCACAAGATTTAGATTGTATCCATTTTCAAGTAAGTTCCTACTGATCATTAGGTTCAAATTGTATCCATTTTCAAGGTACTTCCTGATCACTAGGTTCAGATTTTAACCAATAAGTTAGCAATGTCCAAATTCACTTGTATCTGCTATAGGTTAAATGACGAAAAAAAAAAAATGGGAGAAATAAAAAAGGTTACAGGAAAGAAATTTTCACATTTTTTAGTGTAAAATATAAACTTGATTTTAATTTTGTGGATGCCAAAACATGCCCTATAGATTTAATTTCCTCATTTCAGCTCTGAATGACCTGTTGCTGGAACCTCTTCGCAAGTTGTTCTTTTGTTCTAATGTATATTTTAAGGTATGTGGGCTTTCTCTATGGTAAGTCTAACTTCTAGTTATGGGACTTATATCAAATTGTTCGCTGACTCCTGTTTGATATTATATTGCAGCTTATTATCACTATATATGAAATACCATTTGTCAAATAGTATTTTTTTTTTTAATGACATTTTTCATAACAAGATGAAAAATATTTTTTCTGAAGGAAGTTGGGCTGAGATCCCAAAAGTGCAATTTATATCAGTTATATACATCAGTTACAATGGGGCAATTCATATCAGTTTCTCTTTCTATCTGTTTCTCATCTTATTTGGATATAGAAAATATCTGTTGTTCTTCACCTTTCAGTGCCAGTTGCTGATCTGTTTGAGGAAGTTATTACAGAATTTCATTACGGTAGAATTGGAGCGTTACAATACCACACTACGGAGACAAGAGAATGTGCTGGAAAACACGACAGAGACTTTCAACCAGTAAGCTTACTTTTGTCTTTTTGTATGGACTGATTGGAATATAACACAGAACTGAGGAGGTTCTTAAAGATAGTAGTCTTGGTTATGTTTTTTTAATGAAAGTGCTTGTGTCTGAAGCATCTATTAATGAAACTCAATCAAGTGCTTTTGTCAAAGGTATCTTTTATGAGTGACATTATGTATGATACTAGAACATACAACACTTGAATTTTATAGCTGGTATATCCACCACATATATCTTGAAAGAGGATGAATAGTTCTCAGTTTTGTAATCAAGTTAATTTTTTCTTTATCCAAATGAATATGCCATCACTTTTATTTCAGTGTATCTTTGTTTGTTGAAGAAGTTGAAAAGTTTCAGCCATTACAGACAGTGGCAGAGTTTATTGACTTTGTTGATGCAATGTGTTTGGTTGGCCTGGGTCTGGAGAAAGACAATGCCCTCATGATGTCATGTGTCTTAGATTTCTTTGAGCTGGTAAGTTACAAAAAGATTGTGTTTTTGACTTCTATTTTATTTATTTATTTATTTATTTATTAAAATTTTTAAGAGAGAGAGGTTTTATGTCTTTAGTACTATTAGTTAAGGATATTAAATGATGACATGTCTCTATTTGCCTCTGGTTTAAATAAGTGCTGCATCTTTTAGACACAAGTTATCAGAATGTGGCTTTTTCACCTTCACTGGTAATGGTTTTGTATGTTATGCATTGTATAATAACTCCCATAACTATTTTTAACCCTAGAGTATGCAGTGCTCATGTTTATTACAGTGATGAAAAAAAGTCCAATTGTCTCTCATCAGCAGTTTAGAGTTTTATTAGACATTTCAGTGCTAAATTAATGGAGCTTATTATACATTGTATTTATACGAATTGTAAGCCTGGTAACATTGTGTTCCCACAGGTCTCAAGTCTAACAGTACAGTATGGCACTCCATTTGTTCTACTGCCCAGTAGAGGTCTCATATACAAGGGGCTGTTTGCCAACAATGGGATGACATGCTCTCGGATGTGTGGTATTCTTTTAAAGTAAGTGCTCTGGATCAGCAGTGCTTGAAGTATGTGTGTGTCTGTATGTGTGTGTGTGTGAGAGAGAGAGAGAGAGAGAGAGAGAGAGAGAGAGAGAGAGAGAGAGAGAGAGAGAGTGTTAATGTATGTTGGGGAAGGTGGTTAAGAACAGTGTTATGATCATTTCCAAAAATCAATACTAAGAGTGAATGAAGTCTATAAGAAAATAAAACTTTTTTAAATAAAGTAATATATATATTTTTTTTTCATTAAAAGAGGTTTAATAATGATTTGAAATAATCTACTTTTTCACAAATCATAGAAAAAAGTTGTGTTTTTAGTTAAATTATTTCTCTCTTTTTTTTTCAAATTTGCATTTCAAGAATCATAGCTGAAATATTTTTAGATACATAATTATGTTATCCCCTGTTATATTTCAGTTGTCGCAATGGGTTTCTGAAGCTGAAGTCCATGCCCAAGCCAGATAATCTTGGACTGGTGAATATTGATGTCAACAGTATTGACACCCTCAATGCCTGTGTACTGGACTTCTGTGACTCTCTGTGGAGGTAGGATATAATGAACATTGCTTTGTGTTGTCATTCAAGCTCGATGGTTTTCATAGTTAGTTAAAACAGGCTGTGTGTGTGTGTGTGTGTGTGTGTGTGTGTGTGAGAGAGAGAGAGAGAGAGAGAGAGAGAGAGAGAGAGAGAGCAAAGATGGGGGAGATACAGTTCCAGAATGAATCTACCAATTCTTTTGTAAGATAAATACTGAATTAGCTTTGATACATATGGATATATATATAAGATAGTGAATCTTGTCAATTATTTCTTTGCTGTTGACGATTGCTGTCTGTCAATTGATGATTACTATGAAGTAGTGACTATAGATATTTACTCTTAACAGGTTCTAAAAATTGTTTATATCATGGCATTTAATATTTTCCTGAACTTAAAATACCTGTCACTTGTACCCTGAGTGTCGAGGCACATTAAAGCTAGTTTGTTAACTATTTAATATACCTTTTCATGGGATAGCTTTACTTGATCAGTTTTGCTGATATGGGTTATATATGAAATCAAATTCGAGCTGGCAAAACTGAAATCTAGAACCTAGGGTAGTCAGTTGATGATCACTGTCATGACTACATTCATAACAGGTATTACTGTGTGTTATTACAGGTACAGAGCATTTAAGAAGGACACCAGGTACCCCACGGCATTCACGGTGGAAGATGGGGTGGTGGAGGCCCTCAGTGTCCCCAGGGTCAATGAGTGCTTCTCACTACACAGGCACCAAGCTTTCCTGGGCTTTGCCTGGGCATATCTGAAGGAGGTACTGATGGGGTTTTTTGAACATGTGGAATGTTTTGTGAAAGAGGATTCAGTTTTTGAAATGGATTCAAATATTACTTAAAGAATTTAATGAAAAGTGCAAGATTTTCAAGACTCAAAATTTGGTTTCTTCAGGTGATGTTGTATTTGAAACCTAAGCTCAGGGTTTACCTAAACAATTGTGAATGTTTACTCTTTTTGGGAGGGAGCAGGAGTGGAAAATTTTTGTTGCTTAACAGTTTTTAAGCAATTTGAGTTTTGTCAGCGAAATATAGAGAAGAGTCTAACAAAATCTCCACCCTTCACTCTAGTTTCAGCCTCCAGAGAAGAAGGTCCACCCAGACCAGATCAAGCAGGCCAAGCGTTCTTACCTGGAGTTCCTCCGACGTGAACAACTCCACGGCATAGCTGAGTTCATTGAACAGTTTATAAAGAAAGCCAGCAGTTCCATGTCTAAGTCGCACATAGCTGCTAGCATGGCCAGTCCATAAGTCTGGGAAACATGGAGGTTTTGTTATTTTTCAAGTTTGTGAAAATTTTTAAGATTCCTTCCCCCAATCTCCAAGAGTGACCTTGACCTGGTCAAGGTCAAAGGAAGAGTGATACATTACCTGTTGATGTACTCCTGGTATGACTTTGAGTGTATTGCTGGACACCTTCCACCTGCGGCTTGACATTGTATTGACCTGACCTAGTTCACATCATTTTCCAACTACGACCTTGACCTGGATATAGTCATGACCTGACCTAGTTCACATTATTTTCCAACTGCGACCTTGACCTGGATATAGTCATGACCTGACCTAGTTCACATTATTTTCCAACTACGACCTTGACCTGGATATAGTCATGGCCTGACCTTGTTCAAACAACCTTGTTCACACTGCCACCTCGTCCTGTGCTTAGACGGCATGAGCTTAGTGTGAAATAAAGGCCACCAGTGCATCATACTTTGCTTAAAGCTGTGGCATAAAGTTTGCTTGTTGAAAAGCATTGAACAAATTTGTCCTTGGTTAATGTATATTGAAGCCAGTGCTGAGTTTTTTCTTGAAAAGTGTACAGTAAAGCTTTGAGTGCAGCATTTTAATTTTTTTATGTATTATAAACTGTACCTTGTGTAAAAAAGAAAATATTTGGCAGAGCCAGTTATGTAAATAGATTTTGTTTGATAAAAACTGTAAATAAAGGACTAGAATAGCATTGGGAAAACCTTTCTCAATCAGTGTTTGAATTGTATAAAGAATTATGATATTTTAATGTAAAGCAATCAAATTTAAATTGTTTGGTTACAACTAAAGTTTACCTTGATGATAAAATTGTTGTATTATCACACACTAGGTGATCATTTGCATCTTGAGAAGTTGCTGTTAGTATTCTGCATTACATTTTAACAGTGTGATTGGCTGCATTTTGAAAGAAAGATATGAAAAGGTACAAAATCTTTTAAACATTGGTGTTTTGTTTATATTCCAGCAAAGAGTTTTAATTCTGTTACAATTTGTATCATTTTTTTTTTCATCTCATTTTAACTTAAATTTAACTGGATGGAGACAATATTTTCAGAGCATTGTACATTATAATGCTTATTTTATGATATTTAAATATGAAATGTATAGTTTTGTCTTCAGAATTTTAGTATAAGTTTTTGTTTAAATGTTACTCTGCTAGTTGTCTTGTACAGCCTTTTTAATACCTGTTGCATCTGAAATTTTATAAAACTACATTTTATTTGAAACAAATGTTTCTAATAATTAATATTATCAGCAATATGTGTGTTATTTATATATGGAGCAATGATTTTGTGACTCATTAAATTGATTGCAAAAAAATTGTTTACCCAATAAATTTTGAAAACCAGTTTTAAAGATGCAACTAAAGTGAGTTGATATATCAAATAATTTTCACAAAGACCCAGTTGCAACCAAATGCCATCATATAGTTTCAAATAGCATAATTTGAAGAAATACCAAATATTTATCATTTCATATTTCTCAAAGAATTCAGTTTTAACATATTTTCTGGTTTCTTCATGGTGTATGTAACCTTGATCACACAATTATACTGTTGTGCTGGCTACAGTGATGCATCATATGCTACTAAGTCATGTTACTAGAAGGACAGACTAAGTCAAATTTATGGTCAGAAATTTGATGGAGCTGTGGTTTTAAAACTTAAAAATTTTTTTGGCTGACTGAGTAATTAATTTGGTTTATCCTTTGGCATGTGTAATTTATTTGAGTTTAAAGCAGATAGTGACATTGTGCATGGGCCAATCTCTCTTATTTGGCAATTATAAAACCTTGACCTTGTTCATCATGAAGTGATCTTTCCTAAAATCATAAAATCAAAACCATGTTGACAACAAAATAAGTTTCTTATATTCTGTAAACAGTTTATTTACAAAAAATAACAGCAATAGAATACAACAATGATCAACATAAAAGTTTACAATATCTCCTCAAGTAACATTAACTGCTTGCTAAAGCATCTTACATTCGTACAATATATACATTTACATTGTTAGTCAAACTTGAATGCTGGTTTTCAACTGGTCACTACCTATTTTTTACCAACTTTGTGAATATGTCAAACTTGCTGATATGGGTTTTTGGATGATTACATCCAAGAATATTGATCACTAGTTCACAGTAGAGTCCATTGTACAGAAAATATCACAGGGAATTTCTTGTAACCTTTTCTCTTTTTAACATTTCAAGCATGACAACATTCAATATGTGATTTTTTTCAAAAATTCTAAAAGTGAATTAAAGAAGTTATTATTTACAAACAACCATGCCTCCTTACAATTTCCTTGTTTATCTCAGTAAACTTCACCATCAGCTAACTTTTTAGAAGCTAGAGGTGCTGCAACTAACTAATACCTCCATAACATTACGCAACCCTATTACATGAACCAACTGTAACTATTTGTACATATTCTGCACTGGCATTCTATACCTAGGACTTGAAATTAAAATACGCTCCAATGTTATAAACTTGCTTACCCACGGGTATGATACTTAGAACCTGAGTAGTAAAAAATAAATAATATCTTGAATTACAGTACTGTTCACATTTGGTGAAAAGAAAATCACTGGTCAAATGTACAGGAAGAAATAATCCATTTGGATAAAAAAATAAAATCTGAATGCTGCAAGCATGATGGCATACATCTTTACGTGGGCAGTTGGAGAGGTGAATAAAAACAACAGCCAAATGTTCTTATCTTGAAGTCAGCTAGCTATTTTGAACTAACAGTAATTACATTCTCTCTCTCTCTCTCTTTCTCTCTCTCTCTCTCTCTCTCTCTCTCTCTCTCTGAGGAACTCTCCAGCCTCAGGAGATTCCATTCTGACCTGCTAATCACCATCATTACGATATTAATAATGCTTGTGCTGCCCTTATCCAGAAACAAAACGGTAGTATATATAAGGGTGCACCAATGCTTCACCATTATTTGCCATAAGCCGTTGTACAGATTGGTAAAACTTCTTAATATCAAGGGAAAAAATGCTGTAAGGTAACAATATGTCATCATATATTCATTATAATCCTTCGGCCTTGGGCAGAAACACCAATGGAATGACAACAATGATATGAAATTAATCCCAACAAATGGAATCCCTATGGCATACAGCAATTTTTTTTTATTCCTATCTCTGAATCAAAAGTATCTTTGAAAGAGTATTCCTAATTGAATAAATAAATAAATAAATAATCAAATTTGTTTATGAAATAAATGTCTATAATCCATGTTTGTACGAAACATAGTGACTCTGTGTTCTCATTATACAAGAAAGTAAACATGCACCTAAAACAACAATACAAGTGCCCCCAGATGTTTCCAATTCAAGCTAGCCTACAAGCTTAAAGCTAGCAATTTGTCTTCCTAATATCAATGTAATCTCTCTTTCTATGTCTTTAGTATATGTTACTTGACAAAAATTGATATGCAAAGACGTTTCAAGAAAAATCTATGCGCTATTTCCCTGCCTTATTCACCCTTGTATATTTGATGCTATATACCACATATGTTATATGACCATCATGATACCATCATTGTTTTCATTACAGTAATACAATACACTGAGTTTCAAAGGTCACTGGGAACTCATTTCTACTCATGGCAAAGGCCAAGGGGGCAAGTGTCCACCTTTCAAATTCAGGGTGCATTCCACCAATTCAGCAGCAGTGTTCCACAACCACTTCTATCATTAAGAGAGCTCGCATCTCCAACTAGGACCCATCCCAGTCTCTATCTTTGCAAGCAAAGTAATCCTTAATATATAACACTGTTGTTACTTGGGAATGAAATCTTGAACACATTCTACACATGTTATTAAACATCCACCTACTCATATATTCATCACGATAACTATGATGCATACTTCCCAGCAGAAAATGCCCTTAAAAAGGTTAGAGTGTATTTTGTCATACTTCATACTTTTTTATAATTCCTTATTCATTTCTTCCTGTTCTAGAGTAAGGACTGTTCTATCATTATCTTGTTGTATCCTTCTGGTGGTTCATGGAAGAAGCAACTAAATTGCACGTCTAAAATAGCACCCTCGTCAACTGAAATAAAGACAAAGTTAACAAAATTAATTAGTATAAACATATCATATATATATATATATATATATATATATATATATATATATATTCTTTTTTTTTTAACAAACTTGTTATGCTATATATCCGACAACAAATAAAAGCGATATATTTTGCGAAATAACCCTACAACTGGAAAACCATTCCATCATGCAAATTACATGATCAGCTAAATTTATTTTGCTGAAGAAAAATACTTGAGAGAGAGAGAGAGAGAGAAAGACCCACCATAACACACTGGGTAAATGGTTCCTTTTATTCCAGTAAAGCTGGTATCTAGTTGTTTACCATTAAGATAGAAATTCAGAGTCACATGGTCATAGCTCAAACCCTGAAAAAAAATACACAAAATCATATAATAGCTATTGGAGTAAATAGTTACTAGGTAAATTAACTAAACCTTGTAAGATTTATGTTTTTGCGAGACACTATTAAACAAAACCTTTCCATGTGACTTATAGCTACAAATATTGTAGTTCTTCACTACTGCCTTCATGTGAAGAACATACAAATTTACAAAGCAATAAAGTGATAATTTCAAAGAGGATGACACTCTTCAAACTTTTTCCAATTTTTTTCTTACCAACAAGTCTCCCTCTTGTGGAACCTCTTTTAACTTTCCCCTCTCCTCATTGTTGTGGTATAATGTACCATCCTGTCGTACCACCCAGCTCTCTGTGGTGGTACCCAGTGGTACTGTGTTCAGGTTACACTTCTTTGTGGCCAGACCCACGCCCCATATACCTGTGTATGTGTATAAATAATGTGTTATGATATTAATACTAGATCTGTGCTAAACTTCCTTGTGGCCAGGCCCATATACTTGAGTATGTGTAATTTATTTTAGCAGAAAAAATATATTTAAAATTGTCTGACTAAAAAATCAAAATTGCACATGTCAAATGGAACCAGTAAAAGAAAGTAAAATGTAAGCATGTGATTTATCACATCACTAGTGAAATACCTGTAGATTGTAGTTTAATTTCAAAGTAGGCCTTGTCTTGTACAATAGGTGCATTGGCCAGTGCAGCTCCTGTGCCACATATTCTTCTGCAGTTCTTCACTATCACCACGTCACTGCCTGGAAACAACATGACAGTTATGAATGAATGAATGGATGGATGATGAAAGAAAGTATGAATAAAATAAACTGCTAATCATATAAATAAATAAATACAAGATTGTATGAATAATGGAATTCATGAATAAATGAATAAAAAAACAATAAAGAAATTAAATAATTATTACAATTTGTATAGATTTGATGCAGAGCATATTTCAATGATTATCCAAATCACTCCAAAACCTAGTCATTGTTCCTTACCAGCAGCCCATTTGTGACCTTTCCTGACAATTTCATCAAAATCTGCCATTAACTTTTTGGTATAATGGCGTGAACAGACAAACCTAAGCTTTGACATGTCTGAATGAATCTCTGATGTACTTTTAAAAAGCAGAGAGAAGCATAGCATAGTCCTCAGTGTGTTCTGCTATTTGTCCTATCTGTACTTACTTATATATTTCCAAATAATTTAATGATTATGCCACATATGTTATGGTAAAATCCATAAACTACATCATATACAATTGTTGAAATAACCACCAAACAATTACCACCATTACTTAGACCAGGTCTATAAGAGGGTTGTATGTACGGGGCCGTAGCAACAGTCCGAAGGTTCATTAGTCCGAAACTTCACTATAGAACCTTAGGTGCAATGAACTATTGGTTAAAAAAATCGATGAAAATGTTACTATTTTTAGGACCAATGAACCTTTGCCGGACTATCGAGAAGCCCCCCCTAGGTACATGGTGCATCAATTAAGGCATGGATTGGCTGGACTCTGGCCATGAGGCGCACAGTTCATGCAACACAGCCAAGCAGTGGAGAAAACTGACCCACAATGAGTGCTTTTACCTGGTACTTTACCCTTTTATATGTCATTAAGAATTTTATTTATGTAGACATATTGGGGTATATATACAGTTCCAAAAAGAACCTTTTTGCTAGAACCATATGAGTGTTGCTGTTAGACACCAGCTGACATTACGACATACTTTTATTATATAATGATATTATGTTTTATAAGTCTATCAATATATCGCATATATTCATATTTGCAAATAATTACAATATACATCTACTAGTCTACAATGTGTACATGTACTAGTAATATTAAAAATGTTTAAAAGAAATTGTTTCTAACAGCCCAGAATGAGTAACCTAACAAATAAGGATCGCCTATCTAACTTTAAACATCATTTAAAAGATAATTTTTATTTAAATAATCAATGAATATTTGCTGAAAAACTTTGAATTTTCATTTGTAATTATTAAATTAATTGCATCTAGCACTGCCAGCGCATACTATATTGTCCTGATACTTTTAAAGTCTCACAGAAGAGAGTAGTCGGTTTATCTCATTGAGATTACTCTTGCTAAAATAAAAACGAAAGTTCTCTTTTCAGATTGTTAGTGCACTTATTATGAAGATGAGGAAATGACGCAGATGTACTGTCAACACAACCACAGCCGGCTGTCATCTTCTTATAATTCCTAGGAGATGTCTTTGCGCTTTTCTCTTTGAATAAGTTATTTTTTCTACCTGTCGGTAGTGCTCACCCATGTGTGATGTATCCAACCTGACCGAGGGCTGTTCTGCCTGGGCATCCCTGCCAGAATTTGACCCCGATCCGCCCCAAATCCAATTTCGAAGACAGCAGAAGCAGTTCGCCATGTTGGAAATCCCGGAAGTGACGTCGACTTCATGAAGGAAACAAAGTCGAGGTTGGGAATTCCCTTATTGACCTATATATAGATGTTCCATAATAACACGGTTCTTTTAAACATGAAAAATTAAAAGTAATCAACTTTGAAGGTAATTTAGAGAAAGAAATCTGAAATTAAATATAAATTATCATAACAAAAATATCCCTTTTAATAAAAACGTACAATGACCTTTTTTATATACAATAAAAATTAATCAAATTAGGAGTCTAGGACAACATATATTTTTGAGTTCGGGGCAAAGGGTAAGACATAATGATTCAAGTCTGGTAGTAGATAATACATTTTGTGATCTTTAAACATAAAGTAATTGTGTTTTCAAAATATCGCTGAAATGAAGAAGACTAAAAACCACTCAGAGAGTGCACACCTCCGCCAAAGCAACTCAACTCTAATTATTATTAATTATAGATTGATTAGTAAATCAATAAATTAATTTTATATAAACTCAATTCTCATGAGTCATGACCATAAGTTGATTAGCTGATGAATTAACCAAATACCATCAAAATGTAGCACATTTTTACCTGTCCATTTCTGCTCCTCTTCGATTTGAGATGTAATAGATTGCTGTGCCCCTGCTGGGACAGGCAGTAAAGTGGGAGACGGGGATAGGGAGTCCATTAGGGGATAGGACACCATTGCATTTAAATGGGTCAGTCATATTTGATTCCCGGATATGTAAGTCCGTGGATCAACTTTTTTAGGCTCCATTCAGAACAGGGGACTAACTAGTCCGAGGGTCAAATATTGCGACCCCTGTACATGTGTACTTCAGTACATTGTACATGTATATGTAGTGGAAATGGGTGCGTGTTTGGGATTGTGATTTATTTTTATTAACACATTAATTTAATGATTGATTTGTATGAGTTGTTTGGGAGGTAGTTTGCACTTGTGTACAGTAGGGGAGAGATGAGTTCGGAGGTGGTATTTTGGATGTGGTCTCTGGTGGTTTCCTATGTATGGGAGAAATGAGATCGGAAATGCTTGGATTGTGATATTCTGTTTTAAATCTCTATGAAAGGGAAAGATGAGCTGGGGTGAGCTGTGGGGTGTTATATCCCGGTGATTCCCTAGGTACGTAGGCCTAAGGGAAAGATGAAATCGGAAGAGCTGTTGGGATGTGATATCCCGGTGATTCCCTAGGTAAGGGAAAGATGTGCTCGGAAGAGCTGTTATGTGATATCCCGGTGATTCCCTACCCTCTACCAGGGCGAGTGATAGATTTTTTTACAGATATTCACAGATATGTCTCTAGCTAGATAGATGGTCATTTAGGGCTCAACTCAGTTGAGAGATAGAGACATATCTGTAAAAAATATATCACTCGTCCTGGTAGAGAGTAGTGATTCCCTAGGTATGGGAAAGATGGCCTCAGAAGATATGTTTGGGATGTGAAATCCTGGTGATTCATCATTATAAATTTCTTTTCAGGCAAATTATGGCATTTTCAAGTATTTCAGTGTAAATGCTGTTCCCCATGCCGTTTCACTGTGGAAAAAAGGTTTCTACCAGAAGTGGGGTTCGAACCCACGAGGACATACGTCCATTGGATCTTAAGTCCAACGCCTTAACCACTCGGCCATCCTGGTTGATGGCAAAGTGGGTCATTTATATAATCCTCGGACAAAACCTCAAGTAGAGCACTCGAGACATTGGTTTTAGTTCTTGTTTTGTTTATTTGACATCTGATTATTTTACTTATAGCGTGTTGCTTTCTTACTGTCGAAAAGAAGGTTCCCAAATATGCCTATTATTTACACACTCGACAAAATTGACAGGCATGACGTAGACACCTTTGACCTAGATTCCCAAGAAACTAAAAGGAGAGCTAAAGAAAGTGGTATAAGGAATTTCCCTATATTTCCTGTATTTGAAAGAACTAACGTGAACTTGAGATACGTTTTCTTTCATTTCTATGCCTTTGACTTTTGGCCATGCAAAGAATTTTAGTCTTTCACTGAAGTGGGTCATCTTGGCAATTTTGATATGATCGGTGTATAGTAAAAACCCACAGCAACATCACCATAATTTATGTACAATAACAGAATAATTTGCAGAAAACCGAAGAAGTGCTGCTACATAAATGGACAAAATATGCGAATGGAATGCATGCATTTAACGAAGATTTTGGGTATTTTTCATAAACCATTAGGTAAGTGTGTGCTTGTGGTCTCGTATTAAAGATATTTCAATTTTAGTTTGGGCATAATTTGCTTAGGCCTTAGCCTTGATACAGGTTTTTATGTGGTTAATTAAAATTATTAATTAACAGTTACTCGTGATGTTAGGTCTATTCTCTTTAATTAAAATGTATACTTTGATTATATCTTTATTTCTGCACAAACAAAACTGATGAAAATAATACTGTTTATTGAATTTTCAGAACAGCCATGTTACAAGAAGCAAACCTGATGTTGTTGTTTACTCTTATTGAAATTTAGTGAGAGTAGAGAAGAGTGCTTTAAAATGTGAGTAATCTCCACTTAAAAGATCCTACACAGGGTGATATTACCATGAAACTGTGATACACATTTGACAGAGATTCAGTGGAAGGGGCCCAATGAAAGAACTTGTACTATAACTAGTGGAAAGATAAACAGTTTGATATTGCTTCAAAATTTATTGGAGATTACAGTAATATGTTGAGTAGAAAGCAAGGCAGCATACGCGGGGACCCTATCCCCCTCGCTGACTACGGAGCAGATGAGAATCTCAATGATACTATTGACATCCAGTGGGTCAACAAATCCTGGGTGCGCTGGGTGTTCCGGGTTTGTGCGGTTCTCAGCTTTGTTTCAGTAAGTGCCAATACTCCCAAGACATTCGAGACCAGCGTGGAGCTGAAATATGTGACCTTTGCTGTTGACCTTGTTGTGACCTTCGTTTTCACTGCAGAGATGATTGCTAAAATGCACATTCGTGGAATGTGGAAGGTTGGTTTTTATATCAGTTGTATACTTGATTCTTTCCGATGGTCAAACTTGCATTTCTACCTATTAAAATGTATGTACTAGTAATTAACTGACTTACAGTAAAGAATAGACAACAGGTCAAGTATGTAAAAGTTCATGGTAACTAATAAGTTTTGGCTATTACAGTATCTCTGTCTGAGTAAAAGTATAAGAGCGACATCTTTCATTAAAAAAAAAAAACTTGCTTGAGAAAGAGACAGACATGAGTAAGAATAACTGCTGTTGAACTGCTTGCTTCTTATTTATCAAAGTGATTACGGTGATTTCCAGGGTGAGGCTCCGTACCTGAAGGACAGGTGGTGTCAGTTTGATGGCATTATGGTGCTGTGTCTGTGGGTGTCAGTCATACTGCAGGTAAATCATACCAACTCTGTCAACTTATATGAATAGACAGGGGCAGATGGAAGCCGTCTTCTGGAAGATGGTCAGAATTTTCAAGGTTACGTTGATGGGTATTTAATTTTTCTGTCAGAAGACGATAAAAAAATGGAGGATAGAAAAGATATGTAGATTGATATACTTGCAAGAGATTACAAAATAAGTTTTATGATAGCAATTTTGTAGACCTAGGCTCCATAACTCGAAAGCATTGCATATTGCAAATAGCGATATCACATAGAGGCTACAGTGTATTATATGGGGCGAGTTATGGAATCGAGACGCTTGCGCTAGGTCACACTGCGCGATGCTATAGAGTTACGGGACCCTGTATGTGTTTTCTTACATATTAATGAGGATGAAAAGAAACTGATGACTTTTCATCTTTTCCAGGTCTTTGAAATAACAGAAGTTGTTGACCAAAGGTCCAGTTTCTCCATACTCCGTGCTCCACGACCACTGATTTTTATCAGAGTGTTTCGAGTCTTCCTCAAGTTTCAGCTGCCAAAGACGAGGATTAAGTCCATTTTACAGTAAGATATTTATAATACATTTGTTTTCCAATTTTTGTATTTTTATGTGAATATTCAATTACAGAAAATGAGAATGAAAATGATAATTGTAAAAACAGAATTGATGGGTGTATGTTGTTTTTTTTTTTTTTTTTGACAAAAAATTGTGTTAACATGTTTTGATTTAAAAACGTTATAAATGTTACAGTTCAGAATACAATGATGCCCTATACTTGTAGTGATATTACCAGCTTCTGTTGAGCTCTATAATTATATGTTAAATTGATTGTTTTTCCAACTGATTTGCTGAATCTTTGCTGCTTCTTATACCCAGGCTTATACAGAAGTAGGTGTAACTGCTCATAGATAAACTTAAGACTAGCGCTGTGCACCTCATAGGGCAATGATGAAAGATATGCACTTTGTATTAGATTCTCAAGGACATAGTGCACTAGCATAAAGCATATCAGCTACACATGCCAGCCCAATTCATGTCAAAGCACACTGCAAAAATGTGTTTTAATTTGACTCCAGATAAACTTTAGTTTTATTATGATGGTACTTGAATATTTAGTAATACTTTGAAGTTTTTTTTTTACTCAAAGGACACCATACAGATTAAAGTAATTTATTTTCTTTTGCTTTCAGGATTATGTATTAGAATACTAAGTTTGGTAGTGTAGCAGTTAAAGTTTAATTCTTACACACACATTACTAGTAAATATAAAATTGGACCCCAAACATTTTTGGTGTATTCCAATGGTATTTTGGACATTATTTCTTGGTTGTGATTTTCATTGTACCACCAGCGTTAGCGCTGGCGGTACACATGGTTTCGGTCTCGTCCGGATCGTTCCGCCGGCTCCGCCGGACGGCTACCGTTACCACTTCTCCTCCTAGACGGTAAGGCCCCCCATACCCATCTCATGGATTTAGGTCACCTATAATCTCAACTCGTTCCACGTAAAATTTGGGCTTTGTCGGTATTGCGGTCTGGGTGTGGCACTCATTGCAATGCACCCTTGTCTAAAAATGGCAAAATTAAATGCTAATTATCTACCCTATGGAAGGAGTTATGGGAAAAATTTCTATAGACGGCTTTCCAAAAGTCATATGTGTAGATTTCAAATATACCCTTGGATTTGACCTTTGACCTTTACTTCAAGGTCAAATGGGCCAAAATTTTCAAAAAAATGAAATTTTTTACGAAAAAAATTTTTTTTGCCCTGTTATTCAGACACCACACAGACTTAACCAATAATATTATTGGAAGGTGTTACCCTTCAGGTCATCTTTCATCTCCATGAATTTGGGGTCAATCGGTGCATTTTCACGGGAGTAGCGGCCATAAGATACCGAAACTGAAAACTGTCTCTAATTCGGGAACCGTTAATGCTAGAGACCCATTCTTTTTTGCATTTTGTAGAGCATGTAAAGCCCAACACTGGAGGTGGTCTCGGTTTTTTTGTATTCCATACGGTTTTCGAGTTACGCTGTATCAAAAAGTACATATTGGTGGTGAAAGCAAAATGTGCAGTACGGTAATGGATAATAAATTTTGAACTCTGGAAAAATAAAACATAAGGCTTGGCAAAGCAGACAACTTGTGTTCAAAAATGACATTATTTCATCAAATTTGAACTTCTGAAACTTCAGAGCACCTCCTATTTCAAGAATTTTGACCAAAATGACATTTTCTTTATTTTAATTAATTTTTTCTGTACGAAATTTAAGGCACATTATGGTAACTCCAAAATTATAACATTTAGTCCCTTATATCTCCAAAACTGGCAGAGATAGGTCCATAGTTACTATTGAAGTTGAATAGGAAGTCATATACTGGCAATCTTACTATGACCTTGAAATTGACCTTTGACCTACTTTTCACCATGAACTGAACTTTGCAAATTTTGCTTCCCTTTTATCTCCAAAACTGGCAGAGATAGGTCCATAGTTACTATTGAACTTGAATAGGAAGTCATATACTGGCAATCTAAATGTGACCTTAAAATTGACCTTTGACCTACTTTTCACCATGAACTGAACATTGCAAATTTTGCTTCCCTTTTATCTCCAAAACTGGCAGAGATAGGTCCGTAGTTTCTATTGGACTTGAATAGGAAGTCATATACTGGCAATCTTACTGTGACCTTGAAATTGACCTTTGACCTACTTTTCACCATGAACTGAACTTTGCAAATTTTGGTTTCCTTTTATCTCCAAAACTGGCTGAGATAGGTCCGTAGTTACTATTGGACTTGAATAGGAAGTCATATACTGGCAATCTATATGTGACCTTCAAATTGACCTTTGACCTACTTATAATCATGAACTGAACTCTGCTAATTTCTTTCTCTTTTAACTCCAAACCTGGCAGAGATAGGTCCATAGTTACTATTGAAGTTGAATAGGAAGTCATATACTGGCAATTTACTGCGACCTTGAAATTGACCTTTGACCTACCTTACGATGAACTTAACTTTGATTGTACCATTTTAAGTTATATATATTTTTTGCGTATTTTGAAAATTCTTGCTGATTGCATTTTTATAGCTTGTCAAGCATAAGACTGGTGGCTGTGTCCCTTATTTTGTGTATGTGGGGGTCTATACGAATGCGCTTGCTCCAGCTGGTGGTACAATATTCGGAGGCGGTATCGCCTCTCTGATCCTCTAGTTTTTTTTTTCACTCAAAGCACTTCCCCCCTAACCCCACACCACTCCCAAATATACAGTTGTTAAGTTAACCAATCATCTTTTTATGAACTTCTGTGAACAATGAATATGTGTCAGAGGATTGTAATGCACATTCACTTTGAAAGATATTGATTTTCATTGTTTCACAATGAGCAAATTTACCTCCCACCTTCATATATTGTAGCAACCAAAGACATTTATTTGTTTTCACTTAACTGACACTTTTCTTCATTTTAGCAATGGAGCCATACCATGTTACAACATTGAATTGATGCTTGAATTTAATTTCATCATAAAATTGTCAAATGTCTAGCCACAAATCTTGATAATGTGATCTCTATCAGAGTTGTACATTTTGTAATTTTGTCTGCACATCAAAAAGCTTTGCAGTCTAGTTTGAAATTTTTGATAGAAGCAAATTATGGAGGAAAATTGAAATAATAAAAAATAAAACTTTCCATCGTATCATTTATTTTATTTTATTTTATTTTTCAGACGTTCCAGCGAACAGATTTACAGCGTGACAATTTTCTTTCTGTTCTTCATGTCGCTGTACGCCATTGTGGGAGTGCAGTTCTTTGGAGAACTTAAATATCACTGTGTTGTCAACGGAACAGATCCAGAGTGAGTAAACTTACATGCCTAGTTTTATTAAGACTGGTTAGTGCTAGCCTATGCATAACACTATCTATTGGATAAAATTATCCTCTGGACAGTATTCCTGAGGAAAGTAGCCATTTTAAAGGACAGGACAGCAGTGTCAGAGACCAAAGACATATCCAGTACGGAGTTTTAAAAATTTCGTCTTACCCAGGAGTCGGGGAGATGTAATTTTGAAAAATTAGTCGTATTTCCGCAATTTGAAAAAATAATTAATTTTTAAGCAACGAAATTTTCAAGATTTTACCATATTTGTGAAACATTACCAGATTAAGTAATCATTTCATAGGATAACTGTCCTAGTTGCAATTTTTATCCAGTGGAGGGGGGTCATTATCTGCTAATAACATGTCAATAAGTTTTATGGTGCATGACTTGGGAGACTTCACTGTGTTTTCTCGTTCCAGCAACTTCACAGTGCGTGACCTGGCTATCCCAGACTCCTACTGCTCTCCTCACCCTGGCTCTGGTTACCAATGTCCAGGCAATATGGTCTGTATGGCACTCACCACTAACAGGAGTGAGAGGGGCTTCAACGGATTTGATGAGTTTGGTGAGTATCTAGATTAGAATCACATTCTTTATATTTTATGATACAATAGAGGGTACAAACTTAATCTCTTAATATATTCCATGCAAGATAACAGGAAAGAAACTGAGGCATTTGATTTTACCTGTGCTTAGTATATCCTAGTATAGGTTTAACTGATAGATTAAATGTTTCAGAAATTTAAAAAGAGTAATTGGTTATATTTAAAGATGTTAAGTTTTTACCCCTTAAGTATGCTGCACAGAGGTGAATGTGAATATTATTGTTATTATTAATGAATACATTAAATCATTTTTCTTGTAGATTTTGTATTTTTAGGGGAATATCAGTTTGTTTTCTATATAATTATTATGTTCCCATTGGCTTTATTGGATTATAAATTTGGTGATAAATGTCAGTGCTTCTCACGTTCCCTCCATAAAATTACATCGATGTCATAGATCCGATCAGAGAGATCAAGGGTGTGGGGGATGTCTGAAGACTCTTGAATAAAGATTTCACAATTTTCAGGCTTGATCATCAGTTTGAGAACTTTTGAAATATGCTCTCCCCTTTTTCTCCAGCCACCAGTTTCTTCACGGTATATGAGGCGGGGTCGCAGGAAGGCTGGGTCTTCATCATGTACCGTACTATAGACAGCCTGCCAGCTTGGAAAGCATTCCTCTATTTCATCTCCCTCATCTTCTTTCTGGCCTGGTTGGTTAAGGTAAGATATTCAGTCATGTTTATGTACACAATGCCATATAGAAATTGATAAAACTGCAGTAAGGTTATTGAACACAGGCTAGATTTTCTTACAGCTTTTAGTTCATGGTCAACTGTCATAAAAGTTAATAAATCACACCAGGGTGTCATTCCATGAATCTATAGCACATACAACTTGTCAGTGTTAAACAACCAGTCAGGCAAGACTGGTCAGGTATGTTAGTTTATATGCAAGTATTGGTGTGTAGAACAGAACTCTTTCTCTCCAAAGTAGGACCCATGTCCACTTACATATAATCAGGCACATCACAATGTACATCAGTCATGCACAGAAATTGCACATGCACACAGAGACACAGCCATGCAAGCAAGCGTGCATGTACACATATACACATTTACACACAGACAAGCTTTTATCTGAAACATTCACTACAAAAAAACTTTTTCTGATCCCTAAGGTAAGTAATAGATAGACCCCGAGACAGCGAGGGTTATGTGGCATACACGAGTGCGTAGTGCGGGTCCATTAGTGGGCTATAACGCATTCATGCGAGACGCGCGATTATGAGAGTTACACCACGTCTGAGTCTTTTGTTCTTCACTTCCACCGTGGTCTAACTTGAATTCTCATGTGTGATATTTAGGTTAAATTTAAATACTTTTTCTTTACAGAATGTGTTTATAGCAGTTATCATAGAGACTTTTGCTGAGATCAGAGTCCAGTTTCAACTTATCTGGGGCTCACGAGGGGGCACTGCAGACTCTGACACTTCTCAGGTAAATAGGGTGATTGTTGGTTAACTGAGGCTCTTGAAGGGGGGTGACAGATGCATGCTTTAGTGCACAAGATGCCTCTAAGAGTGGCATACCTGGAAATTGGTTTATCAAGTTTTGGCATTTTTTGAGATAATACTTATTTAAATTAGTAATTTAGAATACCTATTATATAATGATGAAATTAATTTTTGATTAACCTACATTTTTACAAATCAAACTCTAAAAATACTAAATGATTGCCTAAGAATGGTGGCTAACTAAATGTAATATAAATATAAATACACTGTATTCAGGTGCTGGAGACAGAGGGAGAGAAATGGAAGCTAGTCACAGTGGATGAGAACAAGCCACGAGGCCCTGCGCCACACATCTTTCAGAGAATCCTGAAGTCCACGCCCTTCCACATCAGCGTCTTGGTCCTGGTGCTCGCCAACTCCATCACCTCTGCCCTCAGGTCATGTGACCACAGCACCAACAACTGTTTTGATAAGATGGACAAGTTCTACTGGGCAGAGGTAAAAGCGACAGTTGCTATGAAGATCATTAGATGTGAACATCAGTATACAGACACTCACTGTTGTTTTAACTGGTATCGCCACATTTAAATTCTGTGGGTTTGTGAGTGTGTATCCGTATTTTATTTATATTTGTGCATCATTGTCTTTGTTTGTGTTTATGTGGAAGTCTTTGATTTGAATGTGTGCAAGCATGTACAGGTGTTATTTATGTGTGAACAGACCATCAAAGCCTAATTTACAATTTACCCATAGAACACAAACAATTTGAATATTTATACGTACATATTGATTATCTTATTGTTAATTTGATAACTTAAATATAGACTCTCTTCTGTTTTAGTTGACCTTCACCTTGTTGTTTGATCTTGAGGCAGTGTTCAAGGTCTGGTGCCTTGGTTTCCGTGGTTACCTGAAGCGTTCACTACACAAGTTTGAGCTGATGCTGGCTGTGGGGACATCTCTCCATGTGGTCCCTGGCCTGTATGAGTCCAGTGTGGCATATTTCTTAGCTTACTTCCAGGTATAGTGTGTCACAGACTAGATTATTTGCGAAGTATTTGGTATGGAAGTGAAAAAATGCTGTTGTTATTGTTGTTGTTATTAAATTGTTTTTAAATTTGATTGAGAGATTTTTCCAAGGTTACATTCCTGTGGTCAATTATATACGATATTTTGAAGCAAATTGATGTAAGCAACTGGATTGTTACTCAAAAAATTATTAAACAAATCCACCCAGTGGTTACATACAATGTACAGAGCGACACAGACTTTTGTTTAACAGAAATTTTGTAATTACACCAATGGGTTGCACATGTATGTGAGTTCATTATTTCAAGCCAACTGCTGGATTTTATAGTCAGAGCAATGGGGCAGTGTAATTGTTTTAATTGAAAAAAAATATATTGTTCAGGTCCTGAGGTGTGTCCGACTGATCAAGGCATCCCCAATGCTGGAAGACTTCTGCTGGAAGGTATGAAAGCTAGGACAATGGTATCAAGGATGCAGACTTTGGATTTATTTTGTTGCCTTGAATCATTTAACCCTACTCTGTACCTCAGGTCTTAAACAGTTACTTACTATAAGTTTGAAACATGGCATGTCTCTTGGTTAAAGTTTTTAGCCTCTTATGAAAGCTTTGAATTTAAAACATATTGTGGGTAATGGGTGATGTGTTTGACAATCCTCCATATTTTTTGCTTGCACTTATCTTCTTTGTTTTGACACATCTTAATTTTTCCAGTTTTTCCTGACTTTATTGCGTCCTCTTCTGAGGACGCAAACTTCTCTGAGGAGCATATCTGTGGGTATTCAATGTAATTGTTAATAGAATTAAAATACTCAACCATGTTTTGGTGGTCTTTTTATGTGGTTTTTGTGTTCTTGCCTTCCAGATCTTTGGACCGTTTAAGAAGCTTGGAAGTCTGGTGATCTTCACTATGTGTTTGCTGATCATCACCTCCAGTATCAGTTTGCAGTTGTTCTGCTTTATCCCAGACTTGGACAAGTTTGACACTTTCCCTAAGGTAGGGACATTGATCTGTAACACCATCTGATCTGACATTTTCTCGATTTCTTATATATTATGTCTAACTTACACAAAATATAAAACATTTCTAAATCTGATCTTAATAACAAAGAAATTACTTCCATTGATATAAATGTAGTAGGAAAGAAAAAAATTGAAGTAAGAAAATTTATAATAGTTTATACCTTTATGAAATATTGGAATTAAAGATACGTTCACATATTTTTGAACTTCTTTGTGTATATTTTGAATTGTTCTACAAAAAATGTAAATTTGTGTTATTGATCTTAAAAGAGTTAGTAATGTACTGTTGGATATTTTGTTTGGAGACACTTCTTCAGTCTTATTCTTGATAAAATGGTGCTAATCCTAATCAGTATCTTGTTTCAGTTATTTATCACCCCTAACAATATATCAGTAACTTGTTGACCTACTTATCAGCACCACAGTAACATTTGCACTTGTCCATTAAATGAAACTAAAAACATTTCACATTCCTCATTTTTCTCCATATTTCATTATCTTCATACCACAATTTACTACATGGTCTTGTTCCCATGTTTTATGACCTTGACCCCACATTTTATGACCTTCACCCCTAGCTCTACATGACCTTCACCCCTAACTGTACATGACCTTCACCCCTAACTACATGACCTTCACCCCAAGCACAATAACATAGGAGCTCTTCTATAGCTCAATCATTATGCAGTTACTTTAAGTTTCTGGTTATTAAAATAACAATAATGATAATTTACAAAACATAATCACAATACTAATTTGGGAGTTGCATTCATTATTGACCTCTGTTAAATATGATAATTTCAATCTGTTAGTAACTAATACACGACACATCATAATATGTCTATTTCTAAAACACTAACATAACATTTGACAAAGACTTAGTGGTTTATGGTAACATTATTTTACATAAAGGATTTATAACTTGATTTAGATCTTTATTTTTTTTCATTATCATTTAGATAATAATAGCAACAGATTTCAAGCTTTCTCAAAGCACTTGCTTTTGGATTACATTAAAATTAGACCAAGAAGCATAAAATGATTGTCACAATTTAAAAAAAGCAACAATCGCTTTTTTGTACTTTCAGGAAAAGATTGAAGAGAGATTTGTTTCTGTTTAAATGATGCCATTTGGAGATAAATTCTGAAAAGTTTCATTCATGGTGCTTTAAGACTGGTTGTATCATTTTGTCTTGGTGAGGACGCCCTGAGTTCAGGGGTCACTGAAAACTGACCTCTCTACTGCTAGCATTGACCATTGCACGCTTGTGGGATCAACCAGTATGTGCAGTGCATTGTGGGTAATTTTTATCCAAACACATTTGTGGCTTGAAAACAGTAGTGTCCCAGCACTGATATCAAAACTCATTCATGTGTGCTTAATTATCTCATACAAATGTCATAAAACACCCCTGGCTGCAGAAGTGACAGATGTTAGGCAGATAGGCAGGTTGCAATCAAAACTACATATTTACCGAGAGGAATCGTAGGGGCTTTGGTAAAATATTTCCCACAAGGCCAATCTCAGGCATGAACGGTATGAAATGCCAGAAAACCGTGCAATGGTCAATGCCTCTGCTGTTTCTGAAAAGATAAAAAAAAGCTATGTAATTATATACAATGAAAACAATATATTATTGGAAACAGCAGGGATATATATACTGTTAGTAGAAGAGAGTTCCTAGTGTCCTCTGAGATTTAGGGTGGGAGAGGATAAAGCTTTAACTTGAAGAGAATGGGTGTGGGGAGAGATTGGAGCTGTGAACTAGCTTTGTGTGGATGGCTTATAGAATGCATTGAGAACTGACTAAAGTCAAGAACTAATTGATAACAGGGCTCATGCTAGCATCTACATGCAGGCATACATTTGCCAAAAATGCTAAAAACATTAGAGTCAGCATAAGTTTTTTTTTTTTTTTTTCGGGGGGGGGGGGGGGGACTGATGATTTAGATTATGAATTTTTTCCATTAGATTTGTTTAAGATAAATGATTTAACTCCAAGTATGAAAAGCTAACTGTATTTTTATTAGGCTAAATGAAATATGAAAATTGATATTTAAAAGGTAATTAATTAATTATCTTGAAACGATTGTTTATGAATAATTAAATAATGACTCAAATAAGAATTCACTAGTGATACTAGCATTGGCCCAGCATAGATAGACCCAAGTAGTGCTAGGTTCTTTTTACATTGAATGGTACACTGTTTACTTTGAGAGATTGACAATTTAATAGCCGGTTATTAGGTAAAAGTCTCCTAAACGAAACTCCCACACTTGGCACAGCCAATTAATTTACTCTAAAGTTAAAACTTTACAGCATAATTAAAAGTGAACCTATTGTGAAGTTGTGAAGGGGAATAAAACCTTTTGTAATGTTATTACACCTGATAACATTTCAAAGTGGACTGGTCCAGTAATACAGGTACCACGTGATGTAAAAAGGGCTCTAGTGTCTCCGACAGGTATGTGCATGTGAACAAAATCATGGTTGTTGCAGTAAAATCTCAGAGGAAAATGGCATGTTTTGCTCATATTTAATGAGTGCTAGTTGGATTTGTCGTAGTGTGGTATTACTATAGCTGGTAGTTAGCTAGAGTTAGCTAGTTTCATGTATGTCTGATGATGCATTAGGATACTTGAGCTTGCAGTTTTTATGTTCTTCTGTATAGTCTGCATTATTATTATTAAATGTATATGTAAAGTGGCTTGCTTCTGACAAGAATGGTATTTAGTTGTTTTGGGTTTTTAGTTTCTGCTCTCTCCCTAATGAAAAGGCTTTTATTTTGCTTGATGTTTTGCACCTAATGCATGCTCCTTATTGGGTTTTGTAGATATTCAGGCAGTGCTTTGATTTTCACCAGCAATAACAAATTCATCCTAATTTTCCATATCTCCCTAATTCTTAACCACTCCTGTACTTCATATTTTGATTTTAGTTTTGTTTTCATTATTTCATTATTATTTTTTGTCCTTTTTCTTTTTCCATATTCTCGGTGGCTTTCTCGTTGTTGTGCTGCCATGATCTATCACATGCTGTATCATGTACGTGCGTGCGTGCGTGCGTGCATAGGCCTTTTCCAACATGTTTGTAATCGTGTCACAAGAAGGCTGGGTAGAAGTGATGGTGGAAGTTATGTACGCCGCGGGGGAGTCATACGCACCCCTCATTGCGACATACTTTGTTATCTACCATATGTTTTGTATTGCGGTGAGTAGATGGCTGTGCATATAATGGAATATGTATTATCATAGAAAGTATCTTTTATAGGAAACCTTCAACAATTCAGTTTACCAGTGTCCTGTCAGAAGTCTCCCAATCAATGTATTATTATTATTAGTAATAGTAGTAGTAGTAGCAGTAGTAATAGTATTATTTGCATTTTAAAAAGAAACTGTTCATTGTTCATTTTGTCATTTGTAAATTGTCTGTTTCTCTAATCTCATGATTTGAGTGCACTGCTTACTTACATTTTACCAGACATCACAGAATTGTTGAAGGTATCCTGTTTTTGATGAAACAAAAAACTGTATTAGGTCCTAGTTATTCAGCATTTTACAGGCACTATGAGACTATGAAAAAAAGCACTGAAATGTCTGTGAAATGCTTGCAATGCATGAATCAGTGACTCCTCTTGGTTAAGACTACATCCTTGGTTTGCATCTACAGTTACGACTACATCCCATTGATAACACTGTGAAATTGAATGGGTGCAGTGTTAAGATATTAGAACCAGCACACACACACTGGCAGACCCAGGGTGCTCTGTGGGGAAGAAGTGGGAGACACCCTGAATTTCACATGTGACTCTTGTGAGCTTCTCCATTTTCAAACTGGCTTGTATCAGATTTGAAACTCAGGGCATTGGGGATTGAGGGTTTGAGCACACGGATACAAAAATACCTTAAAATTTTCGTATGTTTGGCATGTCTGCATGTAGTTGATATTTTACTGGTAAGAAAAGATAAAGGGCCCTCTTATCCCCCCCCTTGTTCCCCACCTTCTCCCAGATCTACCTTATTTTTCTTTATTTAGTGATTTGGTATTATATAGTTATTGCCAGTTTGAGATTATTTCATCAGAAATATTGCAGATAGAATCCCCAAAAAGGCCCTTGTGTACATCTCATGACGTGAAATAGTAAACCCCATTCCCATACCTAGACCGATCTAACAGGATCGATCCATCTCCGAGGGGTTTCTCGCTTAATTACATTCAGCATAAGCAGCTCTGATTTCTGGCATGTTAGGGGGTAATTTATCAGCTTCAGTAGGCATGCCAGACATCTAAGCCACTGAGCCTGAATGCAAATGAGTGAGAATCCCCTTGGAGATGGGTCGATCCTGCTAGATCGATTTTGTTTATTTTAGATATTATGAGATATTGTTCTATTTGAGAGATTATTTGTGATGTATGTCTGCACAGTAGTATTATAGACATTGTTTCTGTAGACAGTTTGCTGTTTCTGCCAGTGATGGATGTAGAGTATGGCTGATAAAAATATGTGAAAGGAATGAAAGTGCAAGTTTTCAAGATGGGTGTTACATGTGATATAAACCTGTAGACACTGGTAAATGCAAAATTCATTTTCCATTGATTTAAACCTCCAGATTATGAGATGTGATCAAATATAGATAAGATATAAAGGTAGGGAATTATGCAGGTGTGAAATTCGCAGACTTGGTTTGATAAAAACAATATAAATTCTGAGAAAAATAATCACTTCATCTTCCCAACTGCCATCGTAACAAAATATGCAATCTTGATTGTGTTATTATATAAGTAGAATTAGCAATTCTTCACTTGTGCTCTATCTATACAATACTATGATATTTTATCATATTGCTAATTTTTGCATCCAGAAAACTTAAAACCAACAACAAGTCACTACCCAGTACATATGTCAACAGGGAAAAAAATGCACTAGTGTAATATTTAATATTNTATCTCCCTAATTCTTAACCACTCCTGTACTTCATATTTTGATTTTAGTTTTGTTTTCATTATTTCATTATTATTTTTTGTCCTTTTTCTTTTTCCATATTCTCGGTGGCTTTCTCGTTGTTGTGCTGCCATGATCTATCACATGCTGTATCATGTACGTGCGTGCGTGCGTGCGTGCATAGGCCTTTTCCAACATGTTTGTAATCGTGTCACAAGAAGGCTGGGTAGAAGTGATGGTGGAAGTTATGTACGCCGCGGGGGAGTCATACGCACCCCTCATTGCGACATACTTTGTTATCTACCATATGTTTTGTATTGCGGTGAGTAGATGGCTGTGCATATAATGGAATATGTATTATCATAGAAAGTATCTTTTATAGGAAACCTTCAACAATTCAGTTTACCAGTGTCCTGTCAGAAGTCTCCCAATCAATGTATTATTATTATTAGTAATAGTAGTAGTAGTAGCAGTAGTAATAGTATTATTTGCATTTTAAAAAGAAACTGTTCATTGTTCATTTTGTCATTTGTAAATTGTCTGTTTCTCTAATCTCATGATTTGAGTGCACTGCTTACTTACATTTTACCAGACATCACAGAATTGTTGAAGGTATCCTGTTTTTGATGAAACAAAAAACTGTATTAGGTCCTAGTTATTCAGCATTTTACAGGCACTATGAGACTATGAAAAAAAGCACTGAAATGTCTGTGAAATGCTTGCAATGCATGAATCAGTGACTCCTCTTGGTTAAGACTACATCCTTGGTTTGCATCTACAGTTACGACTACATCCCATTGATAACACTGTGAAATTGAATGGGTGCAGTGTTAAGATATTAGAACCAGCACACACACACTGGCAGACCCAGGGTGCTCTGTGGGGAAGAAGTGGGAGACACCCTGAATTTCACATGTGACTCTTGTGAGCTTCTCCATTTTCAAACTGGCTTGTATCAGATTTGAAACTCAGGGCATTGGGGATTGAGGGTTTGAGCACACGGATACAAAAATACCTTAAAATTTTCGTATGTTTGGCATGTCTGCATGTAGTTGATATTTTACTGGTAAGAAAAGATAAAGGGCCCTCTTATCCCCCCCCTTGTTCCCCACCTTCTCCCAGATCTACCTTATTTTTCTTTATTTAGTGATTTGGTATTATATAGTTATTGCCAGTTTGAGATTATTTCATCAGAAATATTGCAGATAGAATCCCCAAAAAGGCCCTTGTGTACATCTCATGACGTGAAATAGTAAACCCCATTCCCATACCTAGACCGATCTAACAGGATCGATCCATCTCCGAGGGGTTTCTCGCTTAATTACATTCAGCATAAGCAGCTCTGATTTCTGGCATGTTAGGGGGTAATTTATCAGCTTCAGTAGGCATGCCAGACATCTAAGCCACTGAGCCTGAATGCAAATGAGTGAGAATCCCCTTGGAGATGGGTCGATCCTGCTAGATCGATTTTGTTTATTTTAGATATTATGAGATATTGTTCTATTTGAGAGATTATTTGTGATGTATGTCTGCACAGTAGTATTATAGACATTGTTTCTGTAGACAGTTTGCTGTTTCTGCCAGTGATGGATGTAGAGTATGGCTGATAAAAATATGTGAAAGGAATGAAAGTGCAAGTTTTCAAGATGGGTGTTACATGTGATATAAACCTGTAGACACTGGTAAATGCAAAATTCATTTTCCATTGATTTAAACCTCCAGATTATGAGATGTGATCAAATATAGATAAGATATAAAGGTAGGGAATTATGCAGGTGTGAAATTCGCAGACTTGGTTTGATAAAAACAATATAAATTCTGAGAAAAATAATCACTTCATCTTCCCAACTGCCATCGTAACAAAATATGCAAGCTTGATTGTGTTATTATATAAGTAGAATTAGCAATTCTTCACATGTGCTCTATCTATACAATACTATGATATTTTATCATATTGCTAATTTTTGCATCCAGAAAACTTAAAACCAACAACAAGTCACTACCCAGTACATATGTCAACAGGGAAAAAAATGCACTAGTGTAATATTTAATATCTAATCATTATAGCATATTAATCTTTATAACTCCTAGACTATTAATAGTAGTACACAGAAAGTTATAAAAAAGTATTTTATCACCTTTAAGTTAATAATTTGCTCTCATTGCCTTCCGATTTCTGTTCTACTAAGTTTCCAATACAAAAGATCCTAACTTTGTAACTGCATTTGTCAGTGCAGTGTGAGAGTGCTGTGTCTTTTTCATCTAACAAACCATCCTAACATCTACATCATTTCTATACACTATGTCGATTCCTGCCATCATATTGTTTTTGCTTCAGATTGACAGACGGTTATTGGCTTGGCAATTGCAGGTGTTCCAAGAGAAGCCAAAACCAGAGCAAGCAAACTAATTACAGTATTAACATGCATTGCTACTGTGTGAATTACTCACAATTTCAGAAATTGTTTTTAAATTACTATGAGTGTTACAATCAATTTTGTTTGGTGATTTTTTCACATATAGAAAATATGGAATGCATTATTGTAAAGTATGTTTCTGCCTCACTATTTCATTCAGGTTTTGGGGGAAAAAAAAGAATCAGTTGAATATTATGTTTGTTACAAATCATTCCATTCTATGGGGTTTTAAAAAGATGTGATAATATCTATGCCACAAAAAATTAAAGAGTAGAAATTGTATTGCCATCTTACCATAGATATAACCACAATAAACCTTTTGAATGGGGGAAAAGAAAAAAGTTCATCTTCTGTATTTTTTTCTAAAAATTATGGTTGCATTTTGCATAATTTCTGAAATGGAAGTGATCACATCAACTAGAGTGCAGTGGCATATACCCACCTTGTAACCAACGCTAATCCCCAGTTTTCCTTCTAACTTTATCTTTCACGCTGCGTGCAGGCACTAATGTCCATGTTTCAAATCCTCACTCAGAAAGGCTGGGTCGAGGTGATGCATGGGACCATGAACCTATCAGGACACTTTGCCCCGCTCGTCGCCATTTATTTCACTCTTTATCATCTCTTTGTCACACTGGTGAGTATTGCACATGGCAGCTAGGCAATGACTCGGCAGATTTGACGAGCAGTCCCTCAAGGACTTCCATTTGATGTTACATTGCTAATGTTTTTAAGTGTAAATGATGATACAAAATATATTTGTTATGGTCCTTTTTGCACTCTTGGTATACCCTGCATGTGATTGGTTGAATGTTATCCAATTGCTACTCATTCTCACCCACTGCTAATCCTGCAGCTAATGGAATGGCTATTTTTAATTGGTTAAGATGGGTGTTAGTCTGCTTCTGATTGATTAAAGCTCTCCATGTTACTAACTTATGGCAGACAAGATCCCCTTTTCTTAAAAAAGTTCAGAAATTTGGCCCGGTATAGAATATTATATTGTTTAATGGTGGGTTTTTATTTATGTACAGTCTCATTTTGGATGAGATGTTATGGTACTCATTACCAATCTGCATCAGGTTGACTATGGTTTCATAGGTCACTGACCATTGAATAATGCCATAATTACGTAATAGTGATGACTTAAATATCATAGCAAATTTTTAAGTAAAAATCTCAAACATTTTGGAAGAATCATGACACTCAAATTATTCATTGCTGTTAATATTAAATTCAGTAATTATTGAAATAAACATTTTTTGCCTTCGTACCGTCACTGATTAAAAATTATCCTCTATTCATGTGAATAACGCAAATTAGGTGAAGAACTTAACAAAGGGGAAAACAAAAACTATAAAAGAGTTGTGACTGAAAAATGAGATAAAGTTTTTATAAATTGTCGGCTGTGTTAATATTTCTCACTTTGATGACTTTCTGAATTTTCAAATGTTAAATTGAAGAATTAGACAATGCAAGATATACTATAGTCATTTGGCAATATTTTGACAAGTCACATGCCCAGTATTTGGAAATCACTCTATATGTACAGTGTGTCCCTCATACATGTGATGTTGTATCCCATCATGCACCTGATATTGTATCCCATCATGCACCACCCTTGGTATCCAGTCGAGCACATGATATTTCGGTCAAACACCTCTAATGGTATCCCAACATGCACCAGTGGTATCCCATCATCCACTTGTTGTTGTATCCCATCATGCACCTCAGATGGATGTTGTTGAGAAGAGGATGTAGGTACATTAGCTTTCATTGGCTTACAGGTAATGTCACACTTTATTTTTTGGCAAAAAATCGAAAAAAACAGTTTTTCTGCATTGAAGTAAAAATAAAAAGACTTACCTTCTAAATTGAATCCAAAATTGTTCTTGTGAAGTATAAGATTTACAACTTAAAAATTGAGATGTTTTTACTGCAAAGAATGAAATACAGCACTTATTTTTGAAAGAAGTCTTTAAAAATTGGTAAAAGATCAGAATGCAATTACCAACTGCAGTATTTGACCAACTGCACACTTTTACCTCGATGTGTGATATTAGTTGCAAGCCAAAATTGTTTGAATTGAGAAATTTGGTTGCACCGAGGCATAATTTGTTGTATGTGAGTTTTGAGAGTAAAAAATGTATGTAAAAAATTTATTTCCAATTAAAATAACAATTACATTTCCTTTTTAATTCCAAAAATGCATCTTCAGACAAATGTTTATCTGGATTTTGGTGGAGAAATTCTAAGACTTATCAATTTTCTTTTGCAATGAGAAATAATGAATTTCTCAGTAAATAGAAGCGGAAATGTTTGCATTACCAGTGAAAAGTTAATGTTTCATCCAAGCAAATTGGAAATAAATGATTAGTGTTGAAAAATATTCTGAAAAGTTGGTTGAGAGATGATTGGTGAATTATATATTTATTTTATCCATATCTTTTATTTTAGTAGTTTTTAATGTTGCTGTTATTTGTAGTGTTAGTGGTGTTAGTATTGTTAATCTGCGTTTAGAATTACGGTAATTTCTCAAAAAACAAAAAAAAAACAAAACAAAAAAAAAAAAACATGAAACATAAATTGATTATTTTCTCCAAAATATATTTTATAGAAATACTTCAAAACTAATTTATTTATTCAAATTTTCTGTAAAATTTGTTGGTGTTGTGTGTCTGAAGCTACATGGGCGTGAATGTTTAAAATGAATTTTTGAAAAAAATAGTTTTGAAAAAAATAAGGTATTTGAAAATTTCAAGCAATTACCGTAAGTAGTGAAATGTTTTCTGCGGCAGGATGTGGCAAAACATGACTTTTGGTTTCTAGGTTCATGTTGTCTTTCTTATATACTGATTGAGCAAGAACCTTTTTATCAGGAAAAATACAGAAATATTGAATAAGAGGTAATTGGTTGCTTTTGTCACATCCTGCATCGGAGCTTAGTATAATTATTTGTTGAGGTCAATTTAGTGAAAATGTAAACATTTTGAATGTTCAAATTTGGTTGTGCATTTACAATAATACTTTGCATATTTGTTCTTGTTTATTAATAGTTATCTGATATCACTGGCAATGTGATGTAATCTTGATTAGTAAGGCTTGTTTAAGAAATTATTAAAAAAAGAGCATTGGTACATGTTGAAAATGGTATACTGCCTTGTTTGGCCTTTGGCTTGGTTTGCTCTTTACTTGTTTCAGTTATATAAACAGTAATAAGTTGTATGGTAGTCTCCACATAATTTTGGGACAGGAACATTTCTCTGAGTTATGAGAAGATTCGAGTTACATGTGTACAGTGTTCATGTTGGTTTTGGCTAATTATATCAAAGGAAAAAGACAAGTTTTGTAAGATTCATTTGAGATCAGCAATAATTTAAATTTAAAGATGATGGGTTATGTGGAGGTTACTATAGAAACAAGTTCTTTTGAATAAAGAGTTTTTATGTGCAATCATCCATTTTATAGGAACAATAATTTGGAAACATATTTTTCAGTACTGTTGTTTATTTATCAGTTATACGTATGGTCATATAGACATTTGAAATGGAAAAAAAGAACAAAAAACAGTTAACAATATTAAACAATCAAGATATGGTTTTTGTTCAAAGGAAATTATCACTTTAAAACAATTGTATTTCAATTAATGATTAAAGTTATATACATTCTGTTGACATTTAAGATATTTGATTTTCTTAGCAGTTAGTTGAAGTACTGAGAAACAGAGTATAAAAAGAAGGAATAATGTTTCTGCTATTTTGACATTGTCTTTTGACTATCTCAGTACAACCAATAATGGTGGTCTGACTAATTACTATATGCACGCCATATGAATTTTGGGCCAAAACTTTTCCTAGCTTGCCTGCCCTTTAAGGCGTAAAGCGGAAACCGTGTTCAGTAACCAAACAAAATCAATCAAATGGCAGTAGACAGATTTCAGTTTTTCTTGCAGGAGAGAAGTGCTTGTGGCATAAACTGCAAATGTATTGAATTCAATCTCTTTCTTGTTCCACTCTTGCTTTTTGATTGACACAAGTAACTTATTAAAATGGCTTCATTTGGTGACATAGTAATAGGAAGTCCTGCTTGGTTGTACAAGGTTATGGTCAGCTTCATATGAGATGCATTTATACAGGCAAAAATAAATCTCTGATGAATTTTGAATCTCAAAAGTTGACTACAGTAGCAGTGATACACTTGAATGAAACAAATACAGCACAGTTCATGTGGATTGATGCTGAGCTGGTGACTGTGATCTGTATGACAAGAAAAAGAACGGTTTATTTTTGCCTTGTCTGAATGCACCTCATACCCTGAGTTTCAGAAGACACCGGAACCTGGCCTCTTTTCTGATTCTTTAGTATCTGGACACAGCAGTGGTATGCTGTTCAAAGAGAGGCAAGTTCCCACTGTTCTATGGAACCCAGGGTGGTAGCTCTCTATTGAATCTATACTATTATTATATTACAATATAATATAATGATATATACTATAGACTAAAGACTGAAACCTATACTGGACTGCGTTTTCAGATTGTGCTCAGTTTGTTTGTGGCAGTCATTTTGGATAACTTGGAGTTGGATGAGGACATTAAGAAGCTGAAACAGGTAGGGGACTGAACTGTTTGTCATGCCCAAGTTCGGGCTCCTGGGAAAATGCTCCAATTTGTGAATGAGCTGGAAATATACAATAAAGACTGTGCCTAACTCCAATTTGTAGGTTACAAGCTATGGAATTTGTTTTTCATATCATCAGTCTACAGTTAAAATAGTTCTGTTCATCATTAAGTTTCCTCTATTTGTAGACAATATTTGATGAAGTATATGTAAAGTAAAATTGAAGGTGTTTTCTAACAGAATTACAAAAATGCTTTTTCCAGCTGAAGCTGCGCGAGCAAAGTGCAGAAGGCCAACAGAAGCTGCCAATGAGAATACGGATATTTGAGAAGTTTCCGTGAGTAGAACAAACATAATACTTTTAGTGTTTCATTGTACATGTATTTTGTTGATTAAATTCTATTGAAAATATGGTAAAACTTGTCACTTTTATTTATCTGAATGTCAGAATTATGTCCATTCAAAAACCATATATAATAAATCATTTCCATTTGTTATTTGCTTAACATTTAGCAATTAAGATGGGATGCTTATTAAAAGAGAAAATTTCATCTGGTCACAGGCTAACTCTAAATTTGCCTTTTTACCCAGGGACCAACCACAGATGGTCAAAATGCACAAAGTGTCCTCGGAATTTTCCACATCTAATGTGCGCGAAAGCTTCATGCGCCATTTTGTAGACGAGGGAAACACCACAGACAGCATTCTCCCGCCACCAGATGCCACTGTGTTTGTTGGAGATATGGTGGCCAAGACAGGCCCTCAGGTCAATCTGCTGACCAGTTCTACCATGTCCAAGGGAGGAGGACCAGGACTAAAGAAGAATGAAGTGTCCTTTATAATTAGGTATATTATTATTATTATTATTATTATACTATACAGTACTTATACTTTGCTCCAAAGGAAAATGATTTTAAGAATTTTATAATTGGCTGAATAAATTCTTCTATAAAAATTGCTCAGAATGTGATATCGTCTATATGTCTGTATCAACTATTTTCCAGAGAGTCCAATAGACAGAGGTTGATGCAGGCAGACTCTGGCTCAGTACAGATGTATGGAGGTCTGGGGGGAGGCAAGTCTTTACTGTCCACACAGCAGCAGATTAGGATGGAGAGAAGGTAGGTGGAAGAAAAAGAGGAAAGGGAGAGAGAGTGGGAAAGGGAGGGAAGGAGAGGGGGGGGAGAGAGAGGGAGAGCAGGACAGAAAGGGATAAGAGGAGGCACGAGATACAGGCAGTTAGACAGACACAGGCAGTTAGACAGACAGAATGAGAAAAATTAAATGAATTTCAAGTCAAATGTGGAATTAACAATTTCAAACTTGGTTTGTTCCACTTTTGATATTAAGGGTAAAGGAAGGGGAGGGGGAGAGAGAGAAAATCATGCTCTCAAATTTTGGTTAAACAAATTCTAATTGTACTACAAAAAATTCAAAACTCACTCTAGTAAATAATTTGCACACTGCTGATGACTTGACCTATTTCTTTCAGTCGTTCCATAAGAGCTTCAGTTCGCCACAGTCATGGCCACACAAACCGTGGCAGTGTGAAGGTACACAAGATGCCCACCATCAGGGAAAACGGCGATGTGGGGACCATGGGGGTCGGGAGAAAGACTGAGGACTTCGATATTAAGGTTCTGCAGCAGAAAAAACAGCAGGCAGAGATTAAGAGGTAGAACTGTGATTTATTTTGTAGTGTAACATTTTTGGCACTGGTGGAGAAATGACCAGTGCAATAAAACTTGTAATTACAAAAATGATGGGCAGACCTTTATATAACAGTAGTGCTGGAATTGGAAGATACCCAGTAGTACATAATTATTGCACAATGACATTCCTTGAAAAATAATATTAGAAAATATTTTAGTAGACATAGAGGTGTATTGGGACTTAATTACACAATTAATATTTTATTATGATCTTCCCTTCACATCTCCAGAACACAACAGGAGGAAGATCTTAGAGAAAACCATCCTTTCTTTGACACGCCCCTGTTTGCAGTGGGGAGGGAGTCTAAGTTCAGGACCGTGTGTAGGCTGATAGTGAAGGCTCAGTATAACTATGTCAGCAGGGACCCTCTCACTGGGAAAGAGATTAAGAGCAAATATAAACAAGTGTAGTAAGTATATATGTGGGTACTATATTATATATGCGCGCATGCACACACATACGTGCACACTTGGCATTGCGATTTAAAAATGCAGTGCTAGAATGCAGTACTTGGCTTTCAATGTCAAGTAGCCTTAGCTTCTGTCAAAAAAAAGTAAATTTTACTTGTGAATCAGGCACTAGTAAAACCCTTATCCATTGTGTTATATGTTATGTAAAATTGTGGTAGTTGAGACAAACACATTTTTCTTTTCCAGTAAACTCCTGGGGCTGGTCTCCTACCTGGATTGGATCATGATCTTTATCACCATCGGCTCCTGTACTTCCATGATGTTTGAGACACCTTTCAGGAGAGTTGTCGACACAAAGGAACTCCAGGTAATAATGACTGATTACTGATACTCACATCTAAAATTGTGAAAGCTTGTTCCCAGAGCTTTGGGTTACGGACTTGATCTCTCTAACATTTGCTGTTGATTTTGGATATTATGGCCAGAACTGAAGAAGTTCTCCCCTTGCCTTTATTTGATAATTATTTTGAAAATTAGTCATGTTTCAGTAAATTTGGTAAGTTGAGAAGCATAATGTTCAAATAGAAATTTTTAAAAACGTTTGACTGTGTATAGCTAGTTCCTCTTCGTGTATTAATGATAAGACAACTTTCAGTCAGTAGTGAAAATATGTAAACAGTATGCGCACAGCAGTTAGGAAGTTTTTCTACGCAAAAGAGTTCTATGTTAGTTGTAATTCATTTTGTAGTTAAAATAAAGATTGCTGAGTCTTCTTTTTTTTAATTCTCACTTTTCAGATTGCGGAGTACATGTTTGTGATAGCTATGAGCATTGAGATGTCTCTGAAGATATTAGCCAATGGTCTGTTCTTCACACCCAATGCAGTGGTCAGCGACTTTGGTGGAGTGTTGGACATCTTCATATATGCTGTAAGCAAAATGTGCCATTTGTTTTCATTCTTAAATCAGGTTTGATAACCAAATAAACATAGAAACTAATATGTTTGCTATGTTTTGCATTGGGAACTCATAAATTTTACGCTATAAAACTGAAGTTATATCGTATAAGATCAAGACATGGAACTTGTGTTTAAGTTGAAATCTAGTTTAGTTTAAGACCCTTTACAAATCACCACTTAGAGAGATTGAAAAATTAAGACAGTCACCTGAACAGGGTTCCCAGCTTCAACACAGCCAGTAAAACCACTGAACAGCAGGGAACAAATTTAAGGATAACTTGCAAAAGAGAGTAAAAACCCTGTAAAGTAGCAGTATTACAGTTTAGGTCCACTGGTCAAGCTTGATATAAAAAGGCCCTTATTATAATATGCCTGTGTCATTGTGTTTGTTAAGACTGTTATCTTATTGCATTAGGTAACTTAAACCCTGTTTAGGTGAGCTTGATTTTCCTGTGCTGATTGCCAAGTTCAGTCACAACTGAGAATATTTTATTTGATTAAATCTATGAAACATTTACCTCATTGCGTTAGTTGAGACTGTTGTTCTCTCATTGCATTAGGTGAGCCTGATCTTCCTGTGCTGGTTGCCCAAGGATGTACCAGCCCAGAGCAGTGTCCAGATGCTGCTGTTGCTGAGATGTCTGCGTCCTCTAAGGATCTTCAGTTTGGTGCCTCACATGAGGAATGTGGTGTATGAGCTGGTCAGAGGGTACAAGGAGATCTTGCTGGTAATTTGTTATTTTGATGAAAATTTCTTTTTGATTTTATATAGTTAATTTTTTTTTATTTCCACAAATGGAAATGTCCTTCAAATGCCATTGATTGAAAATTTATTGGAATTTCATATATAAAACTTCCCTTTAATTTCATAAATTAAAATTTCTTTTAATATCCTGCTTTGGAATTTCTTTAAGTTTCATAATGATGAAGCTTCAAATGATTTTAAGAAGGTAACTTCAATAAAAGAATAAAGAAAGTTTCTGCTGCCATCTATCTTGTTGTTTCTCTAGGTTGCCATCCTGTTGATAGTGCTGATGTTTGTGTTCGCTGCCTACGGTGTTCACCTGTTTGGAGGGAAACTGGCCAGGTGCAATGATCCAAATATTCTATCTAAGGTATGAATAAGAGGTGCCTTTTGTGAAAAGAGTCATTATGCTTCGGTTAAGTTTGCAGTTTTCAAGAACAACATACATAATCAACTAAAACACATTTTTCAGCTTAATTGAAAGCTAAACATGTATGGAGTGCAGTAGTATATGGTGGTTCACTGTGATAAAAAATATCAGATCATATCTTTCTTGATAATACTATTATAAAGACAAACATTTTGAAAAAATCCATAGAAAAGTCCATAGTAAGTAAGAGACGTGCTGCATTTTAATCCATAATTTACAATTCACTTTATAGGCGGAGTGTGTTGGAGTATTCTTCAGAAAAATTAAAGTCACCAAGTTGAGAATCCCTGATGCTGAGACCAATGCTCCCTCTATGTTAGTGCCTAGAGTGTGGTAAGTGCGGTTTTTTATGTGATTTTTTATGTATTTAATTCTTGAACGGATTCATGTTTTTATAACTCATATATTTTTATTGTTTAATTGCCACTATTGAAAAGCAGAAAAGTTAAATTAGAAGCTAAATAAGTCTTTAAAAATATTTTGTTCTTTTAGGGCCAATCCCAGGAACTTTAACTTTGACAACATAGGCAATGCCATGCTTGCTTTGTTTGAAGTGCTGTCATTGGAGGGCTGGTTGGAGATCAGAGATGTCATCATAGAGAGAGTGGGGCAGGTAAGGGAGAGGAATCTTCCAGCTCCAGGATTTGTTAAGTTGCCAAAGTGAAAAAAGAAGGGAACAGAGCAAAGTTTTATTGTCAAAAAGGAAAATGTGTTTAAAAAATAAAGAAGGCATATTTTGGAGACTATAAATTTTTTCAAATGGGAGTGGCAACTTCTCATTTTATAAAGTTTGCTGAATTTGTTTAATAGCCAGTCCACAACTTTTAAAAGTGAAATAATTGTAATCATTTTAACTTACCATGAAGTCTCTGTCAATTTTTATTTATTTTTTTTTGTTTTCAGGCCGAGTCCATCTTTGTGCACATCTTTGTGTTCATTGGCTGCATGATTGGACTGACACTCTTTGTGGGTGTGGTCATTGCTAACTACAGTGAAAACAAGGTACCGAAATATTTTACATCAGATATCTTTGTTATATTTATTTTATTGAAATATTATAAAAAGACAATCTTTTATCTGATGGTTTAGTATATTGCGTTATCTTTCATGTATCAATGGAATATATAGCCTGAGTCTATCCTTAAAATGGTCTTTTAGGACTTTCTTACATGTGAACATTAAGTGCTAAAAAGTTGATAAAATAATCTCAATATTGCCTCCTTTATGTGATGCCCTATACACCTGCCCAACCGGCCTTATCGTAGATAATGCGAGGCCAGTGTTTTAAAGCATAAAGGATTATGTCAGCACAATATTTATCCATGTTCCAGGGCACTGCCTTGCTGACTGTGGACCAGAGGAGGTGGATGGATCTGAAGGGAAGGATTAAACTGGCACAGCCTCTGCATATACCTCCTAAACCAGGTACTCCCTCTCTCTCTCTCTCTCTCTCTCTCTCTCTCTCTCTCACACACACACCTCTCTCTGACTGTATATCTCTCTCTCTCTCAAATACATACATACACACAAAAAAACTCTCTCTCTGTCTCTCTTAATTGAAAAGCATTAATTTATATGTCCTTTTCCAAGAAGATAAAAGCAACTCTCTCACCACACACACACACACACACACACACACACACACACACACACACACACACACACACACACACACACACACACACACACACACACACTGCCTCTGTGTCTCTCTTAATTGGAAAGCATTATATGCCATTTTACTAGATAAAAACGGTTTATCTTGTTTGATTTCTCTTTCTTTCTCTCTCTCTCTCTCTCTCTCATGAATCACCATATCACTCTCAACACCTACCTAATTTCACCTCATTCCAGATAACAACTGTTTCCGTGCTCTGCTCTACGACATCACCCAGCACAGGTACTTCAAGAGGGTGATCGCCTTCCTGGTCCTGGCCAACTCCAGTCTGCTGGCTGTCCCTGTGAGTACTCTTATAATGTGTGCACTTAATAATATGTGATCATTTATTACTTTGGAGCTTTTAATGAGCATTAATTTTATACAGAAGATTTATATGTAAATTAGGGAGAGGAGGTTATGTTACATAGTCTTGAGATGTTTATATGTTTAGATCTAGAGATAACTTTCTTTAAGACAAGATAAGAGATAGTTCTGGATATCCTTGCATAGGCAATTTGTTGATGTTGGTGCACATGTCTGAATGTTATTCTTTTCATAAAATTTGAAGCCAAAGAAAGTATTTTTAAATCCACTTGACTGTTACTCTTTGTTGCTTTACATACCATTACATAAAATTTGGAGTGGTGGAATTAAACCAGGTCTCTTATAAATTGAACCATTTTCAAATTCACTTGACTGTAACTCTTTGATGGTAACTCAAATACATATAATTGGTGTTATGAATCTTTGTTCTTGTTTCAGTGGTTAAAGGAGCTAAATGGGCCAGCGTCCAGTGAGGACAGTGAGATGGCCATCAGAGTACTGTGTGCCTTGTCGGCTTTCTTTACTTTCTTGTTTCTATTGGAGGTAGGTCATTCAGCTATTTTAATCGGTAATGGTATAGTTTCCAGACTTAAGTTCATCATGTTATGAAAGTAAGAAATGGTTTCTTTCAGTCTGCCTTTTCATGTTTTTCAATATAGGAATATAGCTTGAATATTTTTATGTCTACTTTAATATATATTTTGATATTTGCTTATAATTTATGTGGCATGGTTTATTTGCAAGTGAATCATTTTGAACCAATGCAAGAGAAAGAATTATGGGGGAATGGGGAATTGGTATAAAACTTCACTGGTTGTTGTTTAATACAAAATTAATCCACACTGCTATTTTTAATTGGCTTGATAGCTTCTGTACCCAGTCCAACTTTTATCCTTTTACAGTATTTTCTAGAAAAGAAAAATAACATGAAAAATTATGAGATATGTTGACAATTTTGGAAAATAACTAAAATTGGATACATTTCAAGTTTCTTTTGTCTTGTCTCGCAGGTCCTGATGAAGATGATAGCCCTGACACCTGGTGGTTACTGGCAGAGTCGCAGGAACAGACTGGACATGTTTGTGACACTGTTTGGGGTCATGTGGGTGGTCATGCATTTCATACCAAAGGTGAGATAATTCTTTATAGCCATGCAATGTGTGTTAGACCTTTATATAACTAAAAACTTAATTTTTGCAGGAAATTTCCTCGTTTTTTATAAACACCAAAGTAGACCCTTATCAAAATTGTGGAGAAAATTATGGCCTGTTGTCCCAATTTCAAGTTCTAAATTTCTCATTTATGATGCACTCTCTTGAGATTTTCTTTTATTTCAAGACAATTCCATGCAAGCCAGTTCCATGCAAGTACACTTGTAGTTGGATCAAATTGACAATAAGTTTCTGTTGTTTCAGACCCACATGGAGGAGTTTGAATCTTTCAGCTATACACTAGGCTTCATGGTGGTTATATCCAGATTCTTTACTATAACAGGAAAACATGTAAGTCCGTTTTGTATGTCATAACTACTATACTCATTATTGTGTGATGTTTTAAAAAGTGCATTTGTTGTGATTAAATCAGTTGGCTTTACCAATAACTGTAATACAATCTTGGCCTTATTTTTATCCCATATAAGTAATTTTGAATCAGTTTACAGTATATCAAATATTATGATCGGAACACGATATCTGAAAAAAAAAAAATAATCATGTTAATAAGTTAATATTTATGTTGGTATTGATTGTAATAATGCAAACTTATTCTCTCCAGGCGCGGCTGAAGATGCTGATGTTGACAGTGGTTGTTTCCATGTTTAAAAGTTTCTTCCTCATCATGGGGATGTTCCTACTGATGCTGTGTTACGCCTACGTCGGGGTAATCCTGTTCGGTTGTGTGAAATACGGAGAAAATCTGGGAAAGTAAGTGTTATGGTATATTGGACAGGTTGCTTAATTTTTACCTTTCTCTTATATTGAGGCTAATTTAGGAATTTTTTTTATTGATATGTTGTAGAAGCTCATACTATGTACTATAGAGAAGTGTTCAGTATAAGATTTAATTTCCATTTATTTATTGATTGACTTCTCCTCACATTCTGTAGTGGTTTTCATTTTCTCTCTCTACAGACATGCCAACTTTGAGACTGCCTCCAATGCGGTAGCTGTACTCTTTAGAATGATCACAGGAGAGGACTGGAATAAGATCATGCACGACTGCATGGTTTGTTTTTAAATAAATAATTAAAATTGTCTTTATTATTATTATTATTATTTTTATTATTATTATTATTATTATTATTATTATTATTAGCATTATTTTCTGGTGGAATAGTTTTCAATACTTTTACTTAAAACAGAAAACTATTTATATTTGTCTTAATTATAATCAAATGTTTTAACTTTAATTTAACTACCAGTGTCCATGTATCAAGATTTATACACTTAAAAAAACCTTTTATATATGAAAGGACAATTTGGAATGAAATAAATATTAACTGTAAGATTTATGTAAGCCTACATGTATTTCTCCGTACCAGGTGGATGTGCCATTCTGCACTAGGAATCCAGTGGGGAACTATTGGCAGTCGGACTGTGGAAACTTCACTGCAGCTCTTCTCTATTTCTGCAGTTTCTATGTCATTATCACATATATAGCACTTAACTTGTTAGTTGGTGAGTAGATTGTAAACATTATGATAAAGACTTTATAGAGAAAACAATAATTATTATATAATTATATATATCCTGAAATGATGAATATGTATATATTACATTGCATACTGTTGAAACAGTTTCTCATATCACTCTTAAGGTCCTCTATCTGTGAGTTTTAATCCCACACTGATCTCCATATTTCAGCTATCATTATGGAGAATTTCTCTCTGTTCTACTCCAACGAAGAGGATGCTCTGCTCAGTTATAATGATATCCGACAGTTTCAGAACACCTGGAATCTGGTAGACACCAACAGAAAGGTAAACAATACTGGGTCAATGTAGTACTGACCCTCTGATTAGCAAGGTTAAAGAATGGCATTCTTGATGAGAAAAATTGAAAATACAATATTGACCATATCAAATCTAACTGTAGGGCATCCGTGTTACAGTAAAGTGATGAGGTTTTAAAGTATTTGGTCACTTTTAATCAAAATTTCAGTTATTTGGTCACATTTGATTATGATTGGAACAGTTGTCCTGCTTACCAGTTCGAAAATATTAGTATTTTATATATTTAACTTCATTCCAGGGTGTGATACCAGCCAGACGAGTGAAGTTTAACCTCCGCCTGCTGAAAGGTCGCCTGGAGGTGGACCAGGAGAAGGACAGACTTCTGTTCAAACACATGTGCTATGAGATTGAGAGACTTCATAACGGGGGAGATGTCACTTTTCATGATGTGCTCAGGTATAAATCTACGTACTCTGATTGGCTAAAACTTCATCACATGATATGACTGCATATTTTGTTATTTGGGCCAGTCACATTCACTGATGTTTACTAAAACATGGAGTACCAGTATTGTGAAAGAAACTGAAATTTGATGTGTTCTTTGGTTTGCAAAGCCCCCTGAACCAGTTATCACTAGTGAAAGAATGTGTTTAAATATCCTTTATGTTTTTTTGAAATAAAACATTTTCATTTTTACAACTGTTACATTAAACTGTAAGTTGGAAAAATGATAAAAATTTATTTATTTATTATTGTTATTGTATGTTGTTGTTGTTCTTATTACAACTGTAACATTCAACTTTTGGTTGCAAAATAATTATAATAATTGCAAAATATTATTATTATTAACGTCATATGTTATGCTATCAGTATGCTGTCGTACCGGTCAGTGGACATCAGAAAGAGTCTTCAGCTGGAGGAGCTGCTGGCCAGAGAAGAGCTGGAGTACATGATTGAGGAGGAAGTGGCCAAACTGACCATTAAGAACTGGCTGGAGAAGTGTCTCAAGAGAATGAGAACAGTAAGGAATTTGGTTTTTGAGGCATGGTTTTGAAAAGTAAAATTTATTTATACCCCCAGTATATTTATTTATTAATGATCTGCTTTACACATACCTTATATTTCAAGCAATAATTTAAAAAGGATTTTGCGCAGAAATGAGAAGGGGAACAGTAAGGCATTTGGTTTTTGTGACACGGTTTTGAAAAATAAAATTTATTTATATATCTATTTATTTATAATCTGTTCTACACATACCCTATATTTCAAGCTATATTGAAAATGATTTTGAGTAAAAATGGAAAGAGATTGAATGTTGTAATAATATATATATATATATATATATTTCTTGCCATAGATCAAGTATTATGTTATTGTAAATCATTGATGAATATTCTATAGCATACACTAATATTGTGACAAAACAAATACTACTTTTTATATTTTTTTATTCCTGTTGTTAAACTAATACTGTAGTAATAACACAGTAACTATATCTTTTGTTTTGTATTTGGGTCATCTAAAAGAACAATTTATAATATAAACTAAATATCTGTATCTTGTCTTTAAACTGACTTTAAACTTATTTTAGACTTTGTTTGGTAATGGTGAGCATGATGTATGATATTAATAAATCAGTTTATGTGGGCTATGGCCAAATCTGGTTTTATTGATTAATTCAGTTTTTATTATAATATGTTGTTTTAATGTTATATAACTGTTGTGTAATAATCTCAGTTTAATTTGGTCTGACACACAGACAGACACATCACAAGTTGTGGCCTATGGCCTATGGCTCCAATTAGCACATAACAGTTTTATTTTTTTTAACATGATTTACTTTTTCTAAAGAAAAATTAAAATGATTGTCATCTAGACATACAAACAAAAAATATTTTTTCATAAATTTGGAGATAACAAAATCCAGCTTCTTAAGCAAAAAGTGCTGGTTTGACCCCTGTATCCATTAATTTATTGTATAACATCTTCCTAGTGTCTCACTCTTTTTTCTCTCTCTCCTTCCTTCTCTTCCTTGGTGACAGAAAGAACAGTCTAACATCTTGACTAACCTGCGTACCACTAACGAACCCGTGCTCACCGTCACCGAATACATGCAGAACACCCAGGTGGTCCGGGCGCCGACCATGGATGAGGGGGGCGTGGCCAGTGGTGGACGGCCAAAGAAGAAACTGGACAGGACGCCCAGTGTGGGGCAGTCCACAGGGTTACAGGTGACACATACATTATAGTTTTAAGTCTTGATTTATTTTATGGAATTTTGTGAGCTGTTCACTTCCAAAATGCTGCTTTTTTAGAACCAAAAATATTAATTTGGTATCTTTCTAGCTCATGGAATGAAGTAATAAGTCTTATTTATTTTAATTATTAATTTGATAAGAAATTTTATTTATTTATTTATTTTATTTTAAACTGCTAAAGCAATCTAGCCTTTTTGCTTTCAGCCTCCTGGGCACAAGTTTCTACTCCCCACACCAGGCAATGAGTGTACAGCTCCTGCTCCTAAGGAGGTCTCCATGCCAGCCATTAGGAGGAGAAATACTGGAAAAGGACCTCAGAGTACGTACATGTAGTATGCTATATAATAATGCAGAAAAGGGTGGGGTGGGGGAGTGGGGGGGGGGGGGGGGGTTGGGGGTGAAGAGCATGCTCCAGCTCCTAAGGAGGTCTCCATGCCAGCCATTAGGAGAAGAATCACTGGGAAATGACCTCAGAGTATTTACACATAATATACTCTAAAGTAATATTGATAGGGGTGGGGGTGTAGAGCATGTTGCAGCTCTTAAGCAGGTCTATGTGCCAGCTATTAGGAGAAAAAATACTGGGTAGGGACCTCAGAGTATGTAAATGAAGTATGCTTTAAAGCAATATGGATAGAGATGGGTGTTGGGAGTGTAGATCATGCTCTTGCTTCTAAGGAGGTATCCATCCCAATCATTAGAAGAAATACTGGGTAGGGACTGTTTGTTCACACATTATGCTATATAACAATGCTTTAAGGTGGTGTAGAGTAAGGGGGGGGGGGTAGAGCATTCTCAGGCTCCATTACAAGAGCGATCTGGAGACAAAACACTCGGAAGGGATCCCAGAGTATGTGCATATAGATTCTAGTATGCACTTGATTTTTGGGTATAAGTTAAATGTATTGTATAGGTAGAGTCCTGTTTCGTAAAAGGTTTTCAGGTTGTCCTGTTCTTGAGTGTACCGTACAGAGGACAACGCTGAGCATATTACAAATACTATAATTGTATTTTCTGCCATTGTTGGTTAAACTTTGTCAGTTAACAACCTTACTATGGATGGATTTTGGTGCAATTAATTTTCAGAATATGTTAGAAATGGGCTAACTAAAAATTGATTTTGATTTCGGTGATGGCCTATTAACTACTTGATTAAATAATTAGATACACATTTGTAATAATAGTGAGAACTGATCTGCCTTTGATACAGCTGCATTTTCTGAGTGCTTTTCTAGTTAATTTTGTTTATATTCTTTGTGTATTCTAGACACAACTCCTGCCACCACTGACAAGACAGAAGCCAAGCCTGGTGTGAGCAAACCGTTGCCCAGGCAACCGTTGGTAGATCCGGCAACAGTGGAAGTTAGAGGATGGTGGAGTGAACAAATGAATTATGAGAGTGATTCAGAGTCTGAGTAAAGACATGCCTGAAATTACAAGTGATTCAGAGTCTGAGTAAAGACATGCCTGAAATTACAAGTGATTCAGAGTCTGAGTAAAGACATGCCTGAAATTACAAGTGATTTGAAAAAAATGTCTATGACATTTTGTCCTCACAGTTGCTTTACGTAGAATATGCTGGATAACTGAGTGAAAAGATCTAGGTTCAGGAGGATTCAAAATCTTTGTTGTCTGACAAATTTCCTGAGATCTGAGGGAAAAAGATCTGAAATCATGACATTACACTTTTGTGTAAAACCCAGCAGTGGAGAGGAAACAATGCGTTATGTGTCATGTAGTAAATTAGAATGAGAGTTGAGATTGTGACGAGTCTCTCCTAACGCAATTGCTCTCTCTGCCTTATCTCAACCAGTGACCTTGATGGTCCATGTAGGTCACTGCCTCACATTGGCAGCACTGAGGCAAGAATACAAGCTGCTGCAGAAGGTGCCCTAGAAAAAATTTATCCATTTAATTTAATTTTTATTTTTATTCATTGGATTTAATTTACCCATCGGAGGAAGGGTTTACCTGAGAAATGCTGAGAAGTGTTTTAGTTATTGTAGCTTTTCCTTTATATTTATTAGTAAAATGCCATACTTTAGTGTGTAGAACTCAAGAGAAGTCATGCATTTATGCTTTTTAGTTTAAATAGATATTGGGCTCATGTGAAATATATATTTTTATATTGCTAGTTTGCTTTATTAAGCAGCATTTATACTGTGGTTGTTGACCTTGTCAACTAACCATTTTTTATGTTAGTTGACAACTAGTTTTCTTGTCATTATGTCTAGATTGCTTCAGTTTGTGTTTTCTAACCGTTATTATTTTGTTGACAGTTTTATTCTTGTAATTTTGAATAGATAAGTTGGAAGGTTTTTCTCAATCAACCTAGTTGTAAACTTTGGGGTGTGGTCTTGACCTGCCATGTGGTTAAGGAAATACATTATATACATGCACACACACACAAGTAAATGTTTTCTGGTCTTTAAATTATCATGGACACCGAGCCATATTGGCTATAAAACTTGGCAATGTATTCTAACCCACCACTGACGAGTAAATATAAGCACATGCATGCATGTGAACACCCCCACATACACACACGCACGCATGCATGTCAATAACAATTAGTCTTAAGGTAATTATGTACACCAAACATAAATTAAATTATTTATAGCCATATTTTATATATTTTGGAAGGATGGATCTGCTTACAAACATATACCGAATTTTGCCTGATTGAGACTAGGATGCCATAAATTGATGAGCAAAAGTCATAAGAAGAAGTTTTACTATATTTTTCTTTTTTTGAGTTCAAGATCAAACTATTACCATTTTCAGATATGAAAGTAGCACTGAAAGCTATATATTGGCACTTGTATCTACATGTATCAGATTCTGGAATAGGTAAACTTTACACTGTAAGTTTTAGTTCACATATCAGGTGTTGTTGTAGAGCTTTAATGAATCCCCTTTTACTGTTTATGACTTCATACAATTGTTGTAGTATTCCTGTTATATTTTTACATGTTCTATCTCTGTCACACATTGGTTAGATCTGTTTAAGGTTTACGTTGTAACCAGTCAAGAGTAATCACTGAGGTTTCAAGAATACTCCAAAGTATTGTGAATGATGACGTGTTAGACTATTTTAATTTATTGTCACAGTGATGTATAATGTGCAGTACGTCCCCATGAGTGTAAATTATTTTCCTAGCCTTGAGGGATTTTTTTCTGTATAACACAGTAATGATTATGAATTGTATTATTTAAGAAACCACCAGGGGGCCTCTTTCACGAAAGAACTTTAGGGCCCATTCCCGTAGACACCAACGGTCTATGTACATTGACACATCTCTGTGGGGACACTTGCTGAGTGCAATCAGCTTAACTGAATGACACGTGTTAGACCAAATTTTTGTCAGCTTTAGCCAAGATAAATCAACATAGATGTCCAATTTAATGGAAAATTGCATCTTTTTATAATGGCACGATGTGGCTAATACATGTATTTTGGGGCATTAGTTGGTAACTTTATTTTTTGGGGAGTTTAAATTTTTCCTAAACTGAAACTGAACAAAAAAATAGATCTTAAAGTTAAGGGCATTTTCGTCTGAAGCTTTATTTGTGAAACTGGCCCCAGAATTAATTGCTTAGAGATTGATTATTTCTTTATTTACAAACTTCTTCAAGTTTACAGTATATAGCACTAAGAAATGGACCCAGGCTTACAAAATATTCTGAACTAAAGTGCTGTCACAAACATTCTTATCTTTCCCCATATTAGAAAGATATCTCTACATTTTAATTGTCAAATGCTCTTTTTCAATATTTGATATTGTATGTGGCCAAGAACAGTCAGGTAATCTAATACCAGAGATTTGCCTGATTTTACGTCACATTTGGAACTTGTAGGACGCATGAAAGTAGCAGTGGCTTGATCTGACGGCACGTGCGTGCTTTCCGTGTAGCATTGAGGGCAGCTAATATGGGTATGATTCATAGTAGTTGTATTTATCGGGTTATTTATGATTATGTTTTATTTTCAGTTCATTGCAAGTTTTTTTTTATTTCAGAATCAAAGTCGGGGACGATTAAAAGTGAATATTTTAAAAATAAATAAATGTCTAAGTTATATTTATTTATTTATTTATTTATTGTCTAGTAACAACAGTAGTAACAGCTACTCTATGCTACAGTACTATAATCATGCACCGCGTCAGGTACCTGTTGACAGTGTTGTTCCTTTATCCATGGACAAAATTACGAATCTCGTCATTATGTCCAAGCTATATCTAGCTGGATCTAGATGTACAGTGGTTAAACGCCTTATAAGTAATGTAGTAATGTAAAGAAGTATGAGGGGATGGTTAGTGTGCAGACGTGGGAAAAATAAAGATGCATGGAATTGTGGTGGAATTCTTGTTGCATTATACATTATGTGTACAGCTATGATAAATGAAAAATTGTGCCGGTTTTACACCGAAATTTAGTCAAACGTAAACTGTTTTTAAAAGTAGAGTAATTAAAAAGTTGAATTTTGATTACAAATACGTCGCGCGGCGGGACACTCAGACTTGTATTTGGCGTCGACAGCATACGTTAACCCAACAAGCAACAGCGTCTGCGCAACCAAGTTGTTTGGCATATGGGACAAGTTGTGTCGACACACCATCATGCGTGTAACATATAATGCGACTTTACGCATAATATCATTACGTTAGCCCAGGAAACAAACGAAATTTCCCCACTGAAGTTGGTAAAATGTTGAGCAACCTTTCCAAGCACACATGAACATGTGACCCAAAAAAAAAAAAAAAAAAAAAAAAAATATATATATATATATATATATATATAAACAGTTATTGAAAAGAATTAATGCCAATGTTAGCCGATAAACATAATATCAGTCATTACTTTTCATACCAAGGATATTTCAAATATTCCTGCACATTTGCAGGATTTAAAAATCGGATTCTCTAATATACACTATACGCCCTGCCATCCGGTGGCACACACACACTGCATGTGCCCTCCTCATTGTCGAGACAGCCTATTAAAGATAACGACTCTATTTTGTCGCGAAAGGTGCCATAAAACGCATTTACCTGGGGTAAACGACAATTCCCCCATATTTTCCAATGATAAATGAATCCGTCCCGAAATTAGTAGATTTTAATGTGTGTTTTTTTATAAACTCTGCATAAGTTATAAAATGGAATTTATAATGTTTCTATGTGTTGTGTACAATGAATTTATTGTGAAATTATGAACCTCATATGAAGAGTTGTCATCCCCTTAATCAGATAACCTACTCGTCCCCATTCTAACCACATCAAACTATCACCAGAAGGTGCACAGAAGATTCAAATCCAATTTCTTACAAACTACCTTATGTTTAGGGTGTAAAAAAACTTGCAACATATGCCTAACTGTCTATCCCTGTCTGACTTCCTGAAGCATGCCTTGGATGATGCGTTGGCACTGTAACTATGAATACTAATAATGTGCGGATAAAGTAACATACGTGAAATGTGTGGGTAAAGTTACATACACTGTACATGAAATGTGCGGGTAAAGTTACAGACATGCACTGAAGTACAAGTAGGTCAGAAATTAGCGCATTACTAGTTATACAACAGTCTTCTTTTCGGTCCTATAAGGTGACATTGAGCTACTCGTCAGTAGCAGAATATTACAAACATTTATCACAAACACCGTGTCGTAACGTCGGACGGCACAGCCATATCATGGCAAACCGTGCACATCCGGAAAAAGTCCTGCATAGCGGCGTGGATTACAAATCCATGTTTGATCCAAAAGTCTTTCTAGACGATTACCATGGACCAGGGGAACCCCAGTCAACGGTTACAAAGGATGTCCTTCACAGTTTGTTCAACACTGGTAAGAAATACACCAGCAGTCTGTTACAAAATTAGTTTCTGGTGCCGGTGGGATACGATGTCTAGATTGATACGTATACGCCGCCTAGTAACAGTGTACGTAAAACGTAGCCAGTAACCTGCTATCTATTTTCACTTTCCGGCATGTGTTCTGGTTCGCTCGCCTAGGCCTTTTCCACCATATAGGAACCTTAGTGTACTTACTGTACATATAAAAACTTAATATGCCCAGACAAATTTTATCCAAAACTGACCTTTATTGTATCGCTACACATGTTAGTCACCTTATTTCAGGGGACATTAACGGAGATCGTCTGCTAGACTTGGGCAGCGGGCCTGTCATTAGCAATCATATCAGTGCCGCCAAGTGGTTTAACGAGTTGATTTTCAGCGACTACGCACCTGGCAACAGAGACGCGTTGAGAAAATGGAAGAATAACGACGTGGATGCATTTGACTGGGACCCGGCTTTTAAATATGTGGCAGCTCTAGAGGGTGATGTGTATGTATCGTAATAGTAAATGTGATGTAACTCTTATAGAAGTTATACAGTTCTTTAATTTCATTTTTATATTCACCAAAGCCTAGCTCATAAAATGCCAGTTTAAAGTTCACCACCTACTTAAATGTCACGAGTTATTTAAACCTTGAAATGCCTTGTGACAAACGCGTATGTCATCGGTTAAGTGAACTTCATGTTGGATTCATGAAACCGCCATTGGTATTAACCTGCTGAGGTTAGAAGAGGGTAATATATCAGGGGAAAAGAAGAAAAAAATGAATTTCGGATACCCCCCAATGAAAAATTGAAAGCAATCCATAATGTATTATTATAAATTAACTCCATTTTGCTAATGGTTTGCCACTTGCATATAACTTTTGTAGACGTGCTTTTGTCTAAAAACTGTGCTTTCTTTCCATTGCCAGAACCAAGTGGGAGACAGACAGAGAGAATTTCCGCAGAAAGATGTCTGCGATATACGATTGTGACGTGCATAACGAAAACCCGCTACATCCGGTGACGTGTCAACCCTTTGATTGCGTCACAAGCTTCTTTTGCCTAGAGGAAACATGCGCAGATGAAGGCGAGTTTTGTCGTGTAATAAGAAATGTGACGTCATTACTCAAAGAAGGCGGAGTGCTCATTCTACTCAATGCTGTTGGTCAAAGCTTTTTTAAATGTGGTGATGTTTACTTTAGTACATTGTCTCTTGAGAAAAAAGATGTCATCAAAGCATTGGAAAAGGTGGGCCTGAAAGATATTTCGTGGCATAGCTTTCGGGCTCCACCAATGGCTGGTCTTTCAGATTCTGCTCTATGTTATGTGGTAGTGGCTAAGAAATAAGCTTCCTATGGTCGTGACATCTAATCAAATAAGAGTTAGGTTCCAACAAACGAAATTTCCCCACTAACGTTGGAAAAAATGTTTAACAACTTTTTCAAGCACACACGAGCATATGACAAAAAGCCAGAAATAGAAAAGAATTAATGCCAATGTTAGCTTCCTTTATTTGCAATGGACTGTTGAGAATTAGCTTGCTTGGCAACGTATTAAATGTGGATTTCATCTTCTAAATAAATGTGATTTACATAACATCAGTCTTTACTTTTGATTACAAGAATATTTCATATATTCCTGCACCTATAGAGAGTTCAAATGTCGGATTCTCTAATATACACTACACGCCCTGCCACCAGGCGGCACACTGCCTGGATGTGCGCACCTCATTGTCGAGTTGGTATAATATGAGGAATAGCAACTCTTCATTTTGGAGGGAAGAGTACTTGAAACGGATTGTCCTGGGGTAAACGATAGTTTTCCCATACATTTCCAACGGTTAATGAATCTTGTTCAAAATTCAAAGTTAGATGATTGTATTTAAGTCCGTATTTTTGTATTCAACTATGAATGGCTGCGTGGACCTGTGGCAACCTCATATTTCAGAATAATTGCGATACCCGCCGTTTTAGGGGTATGAATGGAAATTAATTATATTTGTATGTGTTTTATAGGTATTGGAGTTGAGGAACTCATACGAAGAGCTGTCCACTTTTAAATAAGACAGCCTACAACAAGGACAGATCCAGGATTATTTGAAAGGGGGTCCGGGGATGCGAAGCTGACCCCCTACCCCCCTTGGCCTTTTGGTATGAAAGAGGGCGAAGGCCATATAGAAATGTTTAAAACTATGATTCATCTAGTCACAGTTCTAATTTCAAAAGGGGACCATTGATGTGACTTTTTCGGAAAACGAAAGGGGGGGTCAGGACCCCCCTGACACCCCCAAAATTAGCCACCGTACTAGTCCTCTTTTCCATATGCATGTACATGTGCAATGCACATGTTGTTTTAACTATATCAAACTAACACCAGTAGGTCTACAAAAGATTCAAATTCAATCCCTTGCAATCTACCTGCTGTTTTTTTTACCGGTAGACTGTATTTAGAATGTTTATAAAAACCTAGCAACGTATGCCCCTGTCCCGATATCGATCCCAGTGTGACTTCCTGAAGCATGCCTTGGAACTATAAATACATTAAGTAATGTTTGGGTAATGACCTACATGCACTGTAAGTAGTTGTAGGTCATACTGAAGTTTGTACAGTACTATTTATATAACAGTCTTCTTGTCGGTCATATAAGGTGACATTGAGCTACTAGTCAGTTGTAGAATATTACAATTAGCTAGACAAAGAGACAGTGTCGTAACGTCGCCCTGCACAGCCATATCATGGCAAACCAAGGATATTCGGACAAAGTTCTACGTCGCGGCGTGGATTATAAATCCATGTTTCATCCACAAGTCTATCTGGACGATTATTATGGGCCAGGGGTACCACAGTCAGCCGTTATAAAGGATTTCCTTCACAGTTTGTTCAACACTGGTAAGAAATGCATGTACTCTCTGATCACCAGCAGTCTGTTACAAAAACATAGCGTTTCCGGTGCCGGTGGGATACGACAGCTAGATTGCTACGTATACGTAAACGTAGCCAGCAACTACCCTCTACCAGGGCGACAGATTGATTTTCCACAGATAATCACAGATATGTCTCTAGATAAATAGACGGTCATTTTGGTCTGTTGTCACCTTGTACTGTCTTTTTATCTAGAGACATATCTGTGGAAAATCAATCTGTAGAGGGTAGCCAGCAACCTGCTATCTCTTGTCACGTTCCGTTAAGTGTTTCCGGTACACTCGCCTTTCCTGCTATAGGAACCTTAGTGTACTTAGTGCACATATAAAATCTTAATAGGCCTATACCTAGACAAAATGTATCCAAAACTGAGCTTTATTATATCGCTGATACTTTAATATAGTATACTACTTTAGAAGCCCTGGTTTCAGAAGGTGGTAAGAAAGAATTACGTACATGTTATGCATGATCATAAGCGCATTTAATATTTGTCTTTGTACAGTGTGGGTATGACTTAAAATTCAAAACAACATACTTTTTGTTTAAAAACACCCTGAAAAAGTAGAAAATGTGGACAATTCATGAGATCAATATATAAAATACGATTATTTTTCAATTATTAATGGGTCACGAGGTTACAAATTATATGTCCGGTGTCGGAAATTGCCCCAAAGGGTTACATACTCGTATAATAGGTGTGAAACAAACGCTATCAATCATATCTCTTTTAATTGATTATACATGTTAGTCACCTTATTTCAGGGAACATTAACGGAGATCGTCTGCTAGATTTGGGCAGCGGGCCTGTAGTTAGCAATCATATCAGTGCCGCAAAGTGGTTCAACGAGTTGATTTTCAGCGACTACGCACCCGGCAACAGAGACGCGTTGAGAAAATGGAAGAATAACGACGTGGATGCATTTGACTGGGACCCGGCTTTTAAATATGTGGCAGCTCTAGAGGGCGATGTGTATGTATCGTAATAGTAACTCTTATAGAAGCAATACAGTTCTTTTATTTCATTCTAATATTCACCAAAGCCTAGCTCAAAAATGCCAGTTTAAAGGCCTCCACCTACTAAAATGTCACAAGATATTTAAACCTTGAAATGCCTTGTGACAAACGCATATGTCATCGGTTAAGTGATCTTCATGTTGGATTCATGAAACCGCCATTGGTTATAACCTGCTGAGGTTAGAAAGGGATCATATATCAGGTGAAAAAAGAAGAAGAAAAAAACAACAACAAATTTTAGATACCCCCAATGATAATTTGAATGCAATCCATAATGTGTTATTGTAATTTAACTACATATTTTGTAATGGTTTTGCCACTGGCAATTAAAACGTCAACTTTCACAGACGCGCTTTTGCCTAAAATGTGCTTTCTTTCCATTGGCAGAACCAAGTGGGAGGAAGACAGAGAGAATTTCCGCAGAAAGATGTCTGCGATTTACGATTGTGACGTACATAACGACAACCCGCTACATCCGGTGACGTGTCAACCCTTTGATTGCGTCACAAGCTTCTTTTGCCTAGAGGAAACATGCGCAGATGAAGAAGAGTTTTGTCGTGTAATAAGAAATGTGACGTCATTACTTAGAGAAGGCGGAGTACTCATTCTACTGAATGCTGTTGGTCAAAGCACTTTCAAATGTGGTGATGTTTACTTTAGTTCATTGTCTGTTGAGAAAAATGATGTCATCAAAGCATTGGAAAAGGTGGGCCTGAAAGATATTTCGTGGCATAGCTTTCAAGCTCCACCAATGGCTGGTCTTTCAGATTCTGCTCAATGTTATGTGGTAGTGGCTAAGAAATAAGCNGCTAGATTGCTACGTATACGTAAACGTAGCCAGCAACTACCCTCTACCAGGGCGACAGATTGATTTTCCACAGATAATCACAGATATGTCTCTAGATAAATAGACGGTCATTTTGGTCTGTTGTCACCTTGTACTGTCTTTTTATCTAGAGACATATCTGTGGAAAATCAATCTGTAGAGGGTAGCCAGCAACCTGCTATCTCTTGTCACGTTCCGTTAAGTGTTTCCGGTACACTCGCCTTTCCTGCTATAGGAACCTTAGTGTACTTAGTGCACATATAAAATCTTAATAGGCCTATACCTAGACAAAATGTATCCAAAACTGAGCTTTATTATATCGCTGATACTTTAATATAGTATACTACTTTAGAAGCCCTGGTTTCAGAAGGTGGTAAGAAAGAATTACGTACATGTTATGCATGATCATAAGCGCATTTAATATTTGTCTTTGTACAGTGTGGGTATGACTTAAAATTCAAAACAACATACTTTTTGTTTAAAAACACCCTGAAAAAGTAGAAAATGTGGACAATTCATGAGATCAATATATAAAATACGATTATTTTTCAATTATTAATGGGTCACGAGGTTACAAATTATATGTCCGGTGTCGGAAATTGCCCCAAAGGGTTACATACTCGTATAATAGGTGTGAAACAAACGCTATCAATCATATCTCTTTTAATTGATTATACATGTTAGTCACCTTATTTCAGGGAACATTAACGGAGATCGTCTGCTAGATTTGGGCAGCGGGCCTGTAGTTAGCAATCATATCAGTGCCGCAAAGTGGTTCAACGAGTTGATTTTCAGCGACTACGCACCCGGCAACAGAGACGCGTTGAGAAAATGGAAGAATAACGACGTGGATGCATTTGACTGGGACCCGGCTTTTAAATATGTGGCAGCTCTAGAGGGCGATGTGTATGTATCGTAATAGTAACTCTTATAGAAGCAATACAGTTCTTTTATTTCATTCTAATATTCACCAAAGCCTAGCTCAAAAATGCCAGTTTAAAGGCCTCCACCTACTAAAATGTCACAAGATATTTAAACCTTGAAATGCCTTGTGACAAACGCATATGTCATCGGTTAAGTGATCTTCATGTTGGATTCATGAAACCGCCATTGGTTATAACCTGCTGAGGTTAGAAAGGGATCATATATCAGGTGAAAAAAGAAGAAGAAAAAAACAACAACAAATTTTAGATACCCCCAATGATAATTTGAATGCAATCCATAATGTGTTATTGTAATTTAACTACATATTTTGTAATGGTTTTGCCACTGGCAATTAAAACGTCAACTTTCACAGACGCGCTTTTGCCTAAAATGTGCTTTCTTTCCATTGGCAGAACCAAGTGGGAGGAAGACAGAGAGAATTTCCGCAGAAAGATGTCTGCGATTTACGATTGTGACGTACATAACGACAACCCGCTACATCCGGTGACGTGTCAACCCTTTGATTGCGTCACAAGCTTCTTTTGCCTAGAGGAAACATGCGCAGATGAAGAAGAGTTTTGTCGTGTAATAAGAAATGTGACGTCATTACTTAGAGAAGGCGGAGTACTCATTCTACTGAATGCTGTTGGTCAAAGCACTTTCAAATGTGGTGATGTTTACTTTAGTTCATTGTCTGTTGAGAAAAATGATGTCATCAAAGCATTGGAAAAGGTGGGCCTGAAAGATATTTCGTGGCATAGCTTTCAAGCTCCACCAATGGCTAGTCTTTCAGATTCTGCTCAATGTTATGTGGTAGTGGCTAAGAAATAAGCTTCCTATGGCTGTAACACCTAATCAAATAAGACTTTCATGTAGGTTCTTTCCATTAAACATAATTGGCGACTTTTAGGTTAAAACATTATTGAGACTTTTTTCATTGATACATTATTGAGACTTAGCCATAAGCTGAAACATATAAATGAGTTTAATCGACGCAAAAAAATTAATAAAATAATAAATGAAAAAACATTGAGGAAACATCAAAGGTAGGCGCACGTTCTCGTTAATTTTCCCTTCAATGATTAAAAAATATTACTTCACACAGTGATTATCTCCTAATCTAGGTGACTGCAAAAATTAAGTTTATACTATTACACAGAGAAAATGCATCTTTTAGGAAAGAAAGCGTTCAGATGAACATTTGCATGGGAAAAATTATGTCATACAGACTCTAGGAAACAGACCAGGATGGCCGAGTGGTTAAGGCGTTGGACTTAAGATCCAATGGACAAATGTCCGCGTGGGTTCGAACCCCACTTCTGGTAAACCCTTTTCTTAAAAATTATTAACAAAACTGAAACACGATAAAGTAGGCCAAAATACTAATAAACCCAAATTTATTCCGATGTCAGATCTTTATGGCAAAAGGGAGTATATTCTGAATTAGACTGAAAATTGCAGCGATTGCACATATTTCTTTTGATACGACAGTGTTTGATTAAGATTTAAGCCATTTTGTCTGATAACTCAAAGATGAATACATCAAAGAGAAGTCAGAGAAAGGAGATCTCATTTTCAGGGTGTCTCATTTTAATGTCTTTCACACGCACATCAAGCTGAAAAGTACTAACCTTTGTTGTCTATCCTGTAGATGCGTATATGACAATACGATCGATTTGATATAATTTGCCAAAATGCACGATGTGCGGTTAGTCTGCAAGTGTGTACATATACTTCTAATGTCACTGTATGTGTTCGAACTTAGTTTTACACACTTATTTGTACAACAATTACTCTGGCATTACACACGGCGGTGCTAGATTGCTACTACCGCCTAATTTGTCCATGCTGGTTTCCCCGGCAACGCCAGCCAATTCCATAACGCTCGTACATGCACACCTAGAATCCACCGTCATCACACTGTACGACATCACGGTCGACCTTTGCAGTGTGCTTGCTGAAGTCATCGGTCCGTTTCCATGGCAGCAGCAGCACAGGACATCCTTGGACCGTTTTCTGAACCCCCGAACGAAGATGTAGTACACGAAGAAGTTGAAGGCGGAGTTAAAGGCGACTAGGAAGTTGGTGATGATGTTGTAGTACCTATGGTTAGGTCCCAAGTCAACGCGTCCCTCCTGTGCGTATAAAATGTGGTTCACGAACACCGGGGTCTGGCAAAGGAGATAGAGTATTACGATCACGATCAACATGGCGGTGATTCTTCCCTCTCTCTCCCGAATCTTTATCGACTGGAAGGAATGAGAGAGCTGCTGCCGCTCTGACCGATTTTGACGAAGCGTATTAACGAGGAGGAAACTGCTAATGAGTAAAACGAGTAAAGGAATGCCATATACAAACGTGAGGAAAGAAATTGAATGAGCCATGCGCGTTCCTTGATGCAACCCTATTGCAAAAGGAACTACCCTCACTTCCATGGTGTGTGTGCATTCGTTCCACGTCTTTTCCGTCCTCTGACGGAAGAACCAAAGAGAGTTAAATACAACATCAACCAATATGAGCACCGTCAGCTTCAACCGATTTCGTCCAGCTGTACTCCAATTGCTGATTTTGAACGGATGGGCAATGGCGACATACCGATCTACGGCGACCATCATGATGATCCAAATCGAGGCTGTCAGCGCCATCATGCCGAGCGGATATTCAAACGGCTCTATGTAGGGCCAAGCACGGAAGTAACCCTGCAGGAGGCCGGTCTTTGGGTATATTGACCGGAAGAACTGGAAGAGGAGCGCGTGAACTAGGTAACAGGTGTCGGCAACAGAGAGGGCGAGGAGAAAGTAGAAGGTGGACGACCGCAGACGGTCCACCCATAGGACAGCGAACGTCAGCATGTTGACCACGATGCCCACGAAACACACGCAGCCCGTCAGGACCGTGTCCACTGCGAACGCAAAGTGGTCGCCATGTTCATCAGTGGACGCAACTGTAATGTTTGTACTCGCACAGGTGCTCGTATTATTATGCATTGTCAAGAATAAGTTCCCGGGGGAATTTTCCTTTTGTTTTTCGGTTCTTTATTGTTGTTTTTTTTCAGACTGTTGCAGAGTTATTGCTCAAGACTTTCTTTTTGATTAATACATTGAGTGGTCAATAGTCCGCTTTTACAATGGTCTATATTATAGAACAAACTTTTGTTGTACACAGATCACCAATGTACCAACGGTATCCGCCTGTTACAATGTACATGTACGTAGTCCTTTAACTCACAATGGGAATTTCTGTCAAATTAGAAATCCAGTATTTCCTTTTAAAGAATATCCAAATTTTCGTCGTAAGGCTGAAGCAGCAACCGAAATTCCGCGAAGAGTGCAACCGTGTTTACTCGACTGTAAATTCTGATGACAGCATCACATCGTAAAGTGTTCGTTTTACCATACCTATGTGGCTTTTATACCTTGACGAACGGTGTCGTTCTAAAACGAGTTTCCAATATGTTTCCTCCATTTCCCTTTGACTTTGAAGTCACTTGAATGACAATTCCCACCGTCAAACGCTTGTTTATTGGACGTAATGGCACTACCTACCTTGAAATATCCGGTTCTTTGGATTTGTTTGTGTGTGTCTCAAATACCCAGTATACATTTCAGCTGCGTCATATGGGAACTTCACCAATCAGTTGGCAATTGTTTGGTCATCAGTTTGCGTTTAATGTATCCACATCTCCATAGAATACGACAGCGCAATTGTTATCTTGGGAATAAGGCGAAATAAGTCTCAAATTTTGTCCCGCTTGTGATATTGAGTATTCGATGGCTTCGGTCTTATCAATCATGATTTAATCGGTCCAAATATCGCTCGGAAATAATAGTTGCATTTGCACTGAAATAAATGGTCGTCCTTTTCCAACGATTGATGTTGTTGTTACTACGCCCTATGAAGTGTCCTTAAATTTGCTTGAGGCTTTTGAGTTAAAAAATAGAGTAAAAATCTCCTGACGCCAGCATGATGCAATGTTTTACTAGTAATGATATGATTAATGTCCTAGCTGACTATGCTAATCCTTTAGTCTTCAGGGACTACATTTTTATCCAAATTTGTCCAGCACAAATCCGTTCAATGATGTATAGCTTGAGCTGCTTAATGCCAAAATGCGTGCCAAGCTAGACTGTTCTTTTTTTCGTATCTCTTAATCACGTACGCAACATTGGAGGAGGGGGGGGGGGGGTAGAGTTAATTGCTCTTCGCATCCCTCGGTGTTTTAGTATCAGCCGGAACAGACAGATGACGTGAATACGTCGTATTGAATTTTGCAAAAACAATGTCATTACCTCAACTGTAAATCCCTTGTACATGGATAATTGATTCCCGCGTGGTTTGCGCTGCGTTTTGGGAGCAGTGCCTGTCGCGTTCGTTTCTTTTATCTGTCTGAATCGAAGTGAGATTCCACATTGGAAATAAATTTTCTATTTGAAGTTGCAGACACGCTATCAGGCTGTGCATATAAGGTCGACTTTATTTCAGATGTAACTAGGCGTGCAGTAGAGTAGCTGACGTAATTCTTGTATTGGCGATGGCAGCTGCTTTGCCTAGCTCTTACTTTAAATTGTATCTTAATGGTAGATCAGGTGATATTATTTACCATTTGGCTGTCAATGAAGACACGGCAAATGATACGTTCAGTGCACTGTACAAATACTCCTTTGTAAACTGGCACCGTTGTCTCCTGTCACCATTGTCTGCCTCCCCCCCCCCCCCCACACACACACAAACACACCGTGAAATATCTGTATTCTGTTACCTGCTACTGAATCTTGGCCCCCTACTCAACATGAACAATAACGGATCTATTGGATACAACAATGGTGGTATGTTATGGAAGGAATACCCTATAGATAAGTGCTGACCAGTCGCACGAACAAGGTCAGACCGTGACAGGTCAAGTATAGTTACTGTCCTGAATAAAACTAATTAAAATGTGTCAATTTGCCCCAACATTTGCCTGTAAATACCTCTCTTCATTTCAAAGAGCAAGTTGACCGAAATCGATAATTGATCAAAACGTTTAGCAGGAATTTTAGTATGCTTAGACCTGACATAAATCGGTGCTTAGTTCAACTACATTAAATGTTGCGCGTGTTTAATAACAAAAAAGACATGACTAGCGTTTCAGTCCAATAGTTGTGGACTATTATACACTTATCTTGATCTAAAATAGATAGAAATTTTGGTCTACAAGTTAAGACCAATGCCCAGGCTAAGTTTAATATACAAACTCCGGAGCAAGAGGCTGCGCCTTCTCAAATTAAGTCATCAGATCCTATCTGCTTGTTAATTATATTAACACTTGAGGCATGAGATTTAGCCAGCATTCATGCACAGATGATTGCCAAACCGCTGCGAAAGAGAAGGATAGGAGGCAGGCACATGTCAAAAAAGAAAAAAAAATATATATATGTATCGTTTCCTTTGCCGTGTTTGTTTGTGAAAGCTCCGTTAATGGTTAATTGGATCGACCATTATTATTTGATGGAATTATTATGTCTTGTTGACAACTCCTTAAGCGTGAAATAAGTCATTAGTCATTTCCAATTGACATTCGTCAAAAACAGCGAGGATTTTTGTCAGTTGCTTTTGCAGTATCGTGGTTCGTAAATGTATTAAAACATAAATTCATGACTGCCACAGAATTGATATGTATAGCCTTCATTAGTTTGCACTCATACACAACAACTGCCAATAAAGCTTTGAGAATAATAAAACATACATCAAGACATCTCAAAACACGTTTAATGATGTAGCATTTCACGTCGTTATTTTCCAAGAAATCGACGATAACCCAAGTGATATCTTACTGGTCTTATCTAATGATATTGACGTCATCAAAGAGTAGCTTTTCTCTGTAATCACTACCATCTGATAATATCTGAGTTATAGCTGGATCTAGGTCGGTCTTATTGTTTGTGTGCGTTGTTCTTGCTCTCCGTTGTTGCGATAGTTTCAGACACACCGCGCGGCGTTTGATTACATGTCCAAATCAGCACTGATTACTTAATACAGCTGAAACTTATTGAGTGCTCTTATTTTATTAGTGTAGCCGCAAATTGCGGCAATGGCAAATCTTCTCATTTATGAGTTTTCTAATTGTTTTGTGTCTGGGAATTGTATATGTCTGTAGGCGTTAATGTAAGGCAAATAACTGAATAAATTGTGCATCTAATTGGTATTATGGTTGTTGTTGTCGTTCATTCGTTAAACAAGATAATATGGGAGATTATTGCTTCAGGAAGAACGGAAAATTATCGAATCATTCGAATTTAATTAACAAAGATGACTTCATAACCATCCGTTTTGTCCGAACAATAAATTATTTTAGAGGCAGAGGCCAATATGTATATAATATACGTGTATCTAATATACATGCATAATTTAAAAGAGGCAATGTAAAAGCTTCACCAACCACCAGAGCTGCCTTCTTGATTCATTAGACGTACATGTAACCACAAAAGAAAGGAGAGCGTTCCTTTTTATTCTGAAAAAAAAAAAAAAAAAAAAAAAAAAAAAAAAAAAAAAAAAAACTGTATTTAATGTTTAAAGCCTCATTTCTTGGGGGTTCCACCAACTTTATTCGAAACCCGCTCTTTCTGATAGCATTGTGGTGTTCTCGTAAGGACTACTCTATTTATTATTATTTTTTTTAATTCAATATTCTTCGATCTGTGCCAACCATTACTTGTTATCATGCAGTACACAATACTTTCATTAGCAGTGCTGTAAATGAAAAGAAGTCGTTCGTGATCTCAAGCGCCTGACGCACGCACGAGATCTAGACTGAATTAATAAGCTGATATTCAGAGGTCGCGTTGCCAGTCGAGTTGGGCAGCGGTCACCTAGAGCGGTCAAATTAGTCCATAAGGTCTCAGCGGAAAATAGGTTTAGAAATGAGCATGCTACCATTTTGCTAGTGGGAATGAAGTCTAAATCTCATCATTTTAATCAGACGGTCGCAGCGATTACCTCAAGCGCAGGCAACCAGTGGTGGTGTGCGGGACCGGAAAAATACTATTTTGTTCATTGTGGTGAGATCATCGTAGTCAATGGTGTGCGGGACCGGAAAGATACTATTTTGTTCATTGTGGTGAGATCATCGTAGTCAATGAATTCGCTGCGGCGTGTCATAGAGTGTATTCCCATAGATTTAGATCGATCCATCTCGATTGACCCAACTCCCTGGGTGGTTCACGCTAAATTGATGTCAGCCGAGCGCGCACGGTAGTTAATTACCCCCTTACAGCTTTTAGTAGGCGGGACAGACACCTAAGCCGGCTGAGCTGACAGTAATCTAGTGAGACTCCCCACAGGGATAGATCGCTCTAAAATCTGTGGGCATGGGGTCATACCTACCCATGTAGTTACAGTTGGGCCGACCTAGCTTTACTGGAAACACAACTTCACCCCGTCGTATATACGTCATCAGTCTCGTGACACCATGCTAGTGTTGTCATACAGGAAAAGCCTGCATGTACTAGACCTGCAGCCGCATGTGTGATTGTAAAGAGGTATGCATGTAACCGGTAGATTCACGTTAACCTTTTGAGACTTTTGGGTGTACTAGTAGGCCAATCGCGCTGCAGTGTTTAGAAAACACAATCAGCTCTGATATCAGGGGCTTGCTTCTAATTGTAATATTTAGTTCTTATAAATGTTTACATTTAGCTCTTTTAAATTGTAACATTTAGCCATTTTAATTAAAAGTGATTGTAAGGTGCATTGAGATTTTAATGGAATGCGCCATGTAAGAATAATAATAATTATTATTTAAAAAAGTATACAAGATAACACTGTGAGCCATTGAACACTCTTTGTAACAGACTAATAGCGCACCCTGCGGCCAGAGAGTATACAGCAGCAATGTCTCTGAAACAGTGTTATAGAGACAAGGTACCGGTATACTAGTAAGTAGCAACTAGATAATCTAGTTGGTTTATTCTCAACAAGAAAGGTTAAATTTGGCATGGGGATAGTTTATTTGATCTGATAGGATAGTAAATTTTCCAGGGAAGTCAGGAAGGGCTTGTGTCTGTACTGACGATGAAGTTGGGTCATATTGATTCAACTTACCTCAATAAAATAAGATGTTCTTATTTGCATATATGAAAACTTTGGCAGCTTTCACCAAAACTCCTAGATTTCCATAAGCCCATGTGTTGCGGTCTTTGGTTCAATATTCTCGGGCTCTGTTAAAAGTACCATCTTTGCTAACAAACAACCGTAATGCTGCTCGATACGTCAAATATTTTTATTGGGTATAGAATTACATCAGGAGGATTTGAAAGTGTTTTGTTGGAATCTAAACTAAATATGTAACTTTAAATTTTAATTGAAATATTCGAATCCCGTTTTTCCCATTTATCAGGTAAAGGACTATGAAATGATTTGGTAAAGAATAATTATATTTTCAAAATCTTTGTCTGTATTTTTATGCAGCCGCAAAAATTCGAAATGGATAATGAACGGACCGAAAGAGTTTAACTAACGATATCTGTTTGACGACCGTGACAATTCTAGATCCGTAAGATTTTTGACATCACCGTATTGCAGATCACCACAAGTTAGTCCACTGAGCAGTGCCCCACGGGAATTATGCAATGGCACCTCTGATACTGCCACGGCCTACGGGTTGATGCTTTTTAATTTCTGCCAAAGTATCGGCTCAAGAAAACCGTACGGCCATCGCCTGCCTCCACTGAAAAAGGTGCATACACGTAGTAAATGCTACCTACGCTTAAGTGTTCAACATTTGGCAAATTTTGTGTATCTTTGATCGGGAACTGTGTGTGTGCATTTTCATAAGTCTGCGAACGTTCCTAAAACCTTCATTAGTCCTGCACTTCACTTCCATCCACCTTTATATTATGGCACATCTTAATAAAGACCGGAGGTTCTGATGGAGACGTTAAGTGGAAAACCCACAACGACCGCCAGTTGAACCTGTCAATCGTGTTGGAACAATTTTGTTGATATATACTTATCGACGCTGCGTTTATTATTTGATCAGGAGTCAATTTGTCGGCGTTGTAAAAAAACGTGCCAAGACGCTAGCATGAAGGACTAATCTGATATTCCCCATTTATGTTAGCATGATCGTGTTTCAAAATATGCCAGCGCACCGAGCCCATCCGTACGACCGAGGGAATATTAACAAATTGCATTTCCGTCACTTTCACACCCCGGCAGACCTTAATGAAAATTGGCGTTTGCCGGTTCTGACGTTAAGTGGAAAATACACAACAAGCGTTTGTTGATTTCTGTTATAACAGGAACAAAAATGTTGGCTTAATGGCAGGTGTGGTGCCTATTACTTCCCCGGGGCTTAGTTGGATGTTTTTTAATGTGCCAAGATGAAAGTATTAAAATAATTAGGTAGTTCCTAGTTTGTAAATAATTGGGTGTTTTTCCGCCGTCTTAATGATCAGTGCGACTCACTCGTATCAAGGAGTTGTAGTTTATTAAAACTCCTTGCTCGTATCTATTTTGGACTGGATTAATCTTTTGCATTTCGAACAAGTGCTAAATTAGTGAAATTACATGTATGTGTCTAATGATCATTACACCCGTGATCAGTCCTGCATATGCTTCCTCTGAACGGGCAAAATCAGTGATCTGCCACATATCTTATGTTGGAACAAAGGGTGGACACAGTGGGTGGGCGCCACCCCCAGAACTCCCCCACCCTCCCGCCCAAGAAAAAAGCGAGGAAAAGAATAAACTTTTCCATCTTTGCGCCGTATAAACATTTGCAGTATCGCCCACCTGCTGTTTTATATTTTCCTAGAGAAACGAGGTAAAAATATGCTTGCTCACTGCGACTACCCCCCTCCTCCCTCCCCAGAATGAATAAATGAATCATGGAGAGATAAGAGAAGAGATACTTGAAAAAAGTCATTCGGACATTGCTGTGTGCAATGTACTTCATCCAGTTTCAACGGCTCTATGATGATACATGTAAGTATTACATTAAAAGTTCGTATCTCAGCTGCAGAAGCACACCGCTTACAAAACGACAAAGGAAATCCACAGAACACTATTTATTGAAAGTGCAATCCGAATGAAACAGAAATACGGCTATCTTCACAAGTCGGCGACAAGTGAGAATCATGATGATAAAGTTTTGCCCATTTCTGTAAAGTATACTGAAATTTAGTCTCCCCAATATTGTGAATTTTAAGTGTTTTTTTTTTGCCAAAGGTGATAACCACTGAAAAATTGTACACGTAGAACGGCAATGGCGGCCGAAATCTTTTGAAATATATTTTAAAGTCAACATGTAACCGCTATTCCGATTCGATATCTGTGTCGATTGCCAATGCATTGTCTTTAGTTATACAATAATGCACTTTCTGATGCTAAATTAATGTGGAGAGAGAACCGGTCTCTTTCCGTTCGAGGGGTTTTTCAATTTTTAATTAACATGTTCATTTTCTCTGCATTTTAAATATTTATAATAAAACTGCCAGTGTTTTACATTGTGGTGCAGCTTCATGATTACAAAGACAATTTTAAATATGTTTGAGTGCTGAAAGTTATAATGGCTTTCAGATGTGTAATTCTCTCTTCAGTTTCGTCTCCTTGGCCGATGTACGCACCTTCTCAGGCTGCCGCACACGGAAAAAGTTCCCGATGTACACGCCGTCGTCTGCCTTGCACAGCCAGGGACTATTTCTCACGCGGTTTAAGGTGAAACGGAGCTCAGAGTTGTGCGTGAGGAGGCCTGAAATATGGAATAATTTCGTTCCTAAAACGTGGTAGTTGTTATTGTAACTAACTCTAAAAGAGATACCGTCATCACTGAATAAATAATTAAGAGTTCACTAATTTAATAAAGAAAGAAAGAAAGAAAGAAAGAAAGAAAGAAAGAAAGAAAGAAAGAAAAGAATACAAATTGAATATATAAAAAATAATAAATAGATATTACAATCATATAAACAACTGAAATTAGATTAATAAACAAAGCAGTAAGATTCAAGTTCCCCTGACTTCATTAAGTGGTTGATCGGAAGATGTCGCATTACTTGTCAAAAATAGACAACTACAAGCCCCCGCCGTTTTCAAAAGTAATATTCTAGGTTTCATTTGGCGCTTGTCGTCAAATTGGACCTAATTTTACCTTGCAGTAATTGCTTTAGTTCTCGGCTAAGGTTGAGGACATCTCCGTTGGGAAAGCTCAGTTTGACAGGAATGTTTGGTTGACCGTGGTAAGGTATTAGACCAGTGGCCATGTAGTAGAGGAGAACGCCTTAAGAGAAAATGAGATTATAATGCTCTACGCGCTCGGTAAGGCGTGTTTGATAAACTCACATATTCAGAGCTAATTAGAGTACATTCACATGCTTCTCTTTCTATAAGGTTGGTATCAGTTAATATTGGAAACGGGTAACAGTAAAGGGATTATAGCCAATTACCGATGGTTGGGGATACAGACCGATTGAAGGGGAATGTATTTGCAGTTTTACAAAAGATCCGCAGAAAGACGTTCACTTTAATTTTTTTCGTTATTAATTAATTAATATTAATTATAATTTTAATTATTGCATTCACCTACCCATCGCCCACATGTCAACTCTCCGAGGATCGTAAGGAAAATTGGACAAGAGTTCTGGCGCCCGATACCCTGGCGATCCACACTTGGTATCAGTGAGCAGGGGGTCGCCATCTTTGTATAGAACGGCGGTGCCAAGGTCGCACAGTTTAAGGACGTTGTTTCTCGAGACCACGAACTTGCTGCATTTGACGTCGCGGTGTGCTATGTTGTTGTGATGTAGGTATTCCATCGCCTTAATGAATAAAATGTTCGAAAAAATATGTAAATGCTGAGAAAAATATGAAAATACTGTCACTTAATCGGGAAATAGACGAAAAAAAAATTAAAAAAGAAGAAGACTAGAAAAGAAGAAAGAAAAACCTGCCACACATGCACACACACAGAAAAAAAAAAACGTTATTTTTAAGATGATGTTACTTCTCAAACAACTTTCAAAAAACTTTCAAAAACTGAATTCTTTATAATGAATCATCGGTTTTTACGGTAAGATCTACTTCAAATAAAGGGCGCACTACAAGAAATAGACGAATATCTTACTTGGAAGATCTGTTTGAAGTATCGTCTGCTCACTGGTTCTATTAGAAACCCCGCTTTCCTGTGGGCCACAAGATGAGCCAAATCCCCGTTTTCACAGTATTCAGCAACCACTGCCAAGTGACCTCTGGTGACAAAAAACTCGTGCATTTTAATCAGGTTTTCGTGCCGTAGACTCTGTAAAAGTTCTATGTTGTCGGCCAAAAAACAACTTTTAAAAGAACCAGACGGTTTGTAGATCTCTCCGCTACTGTGGGCGGTTGCATCGCTGGACTTGTTTCCGCCGCGCTGGATGAGTCGGATGGCCACGCGTTTCAGGTCGCTCTCGTGCCGTCCGACTAGGGCGCCGCAACCGAAATTTCCATCGTGCGGAAGTTCTCGGAGGACGGTGTATCCTTGAGTGGCCAGGTCCGACGCTGCCCCGTCCAGTTCGGGCCCCAAGTACACCGGACACGGCTACAACAGTGAAACATAGGGTGATTTCATGGCAATAAATATATGTGCTATGGTCCATGAAGTGAAAATAGACGAAGTGCGCAAATAATCAATCTTAAAAATTTAGGAGGGTTCGGTATATTGATTATTGTCATCTGTGGTATGAAGCACAGATATGTCATCCTTTATAATCTTGTTAAAAAATGAGACTATGCCGAAGCATTTTAGGTTTTGAGAAAAATATGGTCAAGCGCTTCATTGGTCCTTGTCCTTCCTAAGGGTAATTGGGTTATTACTATAATAATAATAATAATAATAATAATAATAATAATAATAATAATAATAATAATAATTATTATTCCTTTTAGTTTCATAGAGATAGATATAGATTATGAAAATTCTATCAGATCTCTGAGAACAAAGCACAGGTTTCCTAGGCTTACTATAGGCTTACCTTATGCTGCTGCTCGGTGGTATCACACCACGCGTCTCCAATGCCACAAACAATCCTCATGGCCTGATGGCTGGCCCTTTCTTTATAACCAGCAGCCTCCTCCGCGTCACCAGGCAGGCGTACGTAGGCCGTGAAGTGGTGCCCCGTGGCTTTCTTGCGGTGATCCCCGGCACTTAATTCCTTCATCCCCTGACGTTTACTGGCCATGGTGTTGTCCACAGAGGAGCATGCCCTTTTCTTTCCACGGAACTGGTTGCCTAGAGACTACACGTTAGGGGGATAAAACATGGTCATGAGCAGAGAGTGGAAGGGATTTGGAAATATGCACGTAAAAAAAGGTTTAGAATGTCTTATATAAAATCTACATACATGTATAAACTCGGACATCTAAAACATAGCAGAGTCTTTGGGTAATGTTATATATTGAAGATTCATATCAAATCACTGTATAGATCTTTAAGAAATAAATAAGTTATTATAATGTGCATCTATGAAGATCTACTATAAAGATGTAAAATCTAATCCAAGCTTTCGGGCGCTAGACCTTCTTTACGGATTTGAAAAAAATTCTTTAGATGCATCATTATAAAAACTTCACGTGTAAAGTTATAAAACACTATAAAATAAAATTCGATACATATTTTCTGAGGACACATTCGCATTTAAACGGTAATAATGTATATTAATAAATATCCCTTTGGTGAATCAATTTCTACGTACCTGCATTAGCTTTCGCAAACCTGGTGGTAGTTCAGTCGCCAGTTTCTGTGTGTAAACTTTCTTATTTATATTCCCTGATGTTTTCTTACATCTTTTCCCCACCCGGGGCTTGTTGCTACGCTGAGCGTAATCACGGCAACGTTGTTACGAATGTTCTTATTGGTTGCGTTTAATGGTGACGCACATGTGACGTAACAATCAATTTACGTCGCACCAACAATAATAATAATACTGCGTCGCATTGTTACTGTTGCAAACAGGCATGGAGACGTCCAATTTTTGTTTATATACAGGAACGTTCTCCCCAGTGATAACAAAGATGCCATTTAGTGGCATCACGTCAAATATTTCATAATTCATTTTCTTGATATAGAAATATATACTACATCGAAAATCTTTTCATGCATTATATAGCCTATATATATATACATAAATCTATCAATATATTTAAAACAGACAGGTATATATAATCAGATAAATACTTGTGTATGGCCACAAGACGAATTGCACACAGAAAGTTACTCTTTTGTTCATTACTGATGAACCAATTACAAAACAAAAACTAATTAGCTTTAAAATATAAGAACTCGATTTGAGCCTTGAACAAATGCCTTCGAGTACATAATAATAATAATAATAATAATAATAATAATAATAATAATAATATTCAATTCAATCAATTTGGCTAATGCAACTGACTGACGCATTTTTTAAAACTAATTGTACGAAATACTCTTTGCAAATTAACGACTGAACACATAGAATGAAGTAGAAGAAGCAGGATGGATAAGGGGGCAAATCTAAGTACACTGGACCAAAAAAGTTCGGAAGCATCGTTATTTTGAATAATTATAAAATAACCGTTTGAGCTAAGGTAAATATTTTAACAAATTAAAGATGGATTGTGCACTCATCATTTATAAAAACATTGCAGATTTTCCCACTACATTACATATTTTCATAATTAAAAAAACAATTTCATGTTTCTGAACTTTTTTGTTGAGTGTATTTTCCCGAGACAGGCAATACTATAACTCTCAGGTACACGATACACGACGGTACCTTATATGTGATACAACACGAAAGGCAGACAAGTTTTAGATTTTGCCTTAACATCCAATGCTTCCTTTTTCCATGAATCTTATACACCTTGTGGAAATGCGTTCTTTAACTCATACTTTTTTAATATTTGCAGTGGGAACTCAACACCTCCTTGCAGTTTTGAGGTTGTATGATTTTGAATTTCGTTGTCTTGTCACTATTTTTCTACAAAAGTTTATAGAAATCAAAAATATATCACATATATATCACGTATCTAAATGCACTGCCACACCTAGCGTAAAGTACTAACGTATGAGAAAAATTGTCCATACACAGACAAGAACAAAGGGTTCGTTAGACTTACGTCGCTACTCGAAGGGAAATAAAGTGTTTTGAGCATGTTCAAAAACAATTTCATAAGCTGCTTATGCCTTTATTTTATTAGGCCTAAAACAGGGTGATTCTATACGCTTTATTGATGTCACATATGATACTCATGCGCACCTCATGACGCTAGGTGAGACAGAGCCATTGGTAATGCCAATATTAATTTCCTCGTAACGCTTTATTTTGCCAATTATATTCGCCGCTCTTATCGAGAATGTAATCATATACGCATATTCTCCTACTGGAAATGCATAGTTTATTACACACTGTTGCTGCGATCCTATTTAAGATGAAGAAGGTCCTTTAAATTACGTCTAAATTTAGTCCCCACGAGGCCGTAAATAAAAAAATTAACCGATGCATTCAAAGCGCTCAACACGTACACCACTGGTTGTACCCAGTCAATGATATAGTAGTACTGGGAAGATATGAACCTTTCCTGTAGAGCGATGACAGGTGTAAGGAAACAATAAGGTATTACAGCCAGAAGGTAACATATCAGGAGAGAGGTCACAATTTTAGTAAGGTGGCCAGATGGGCCTGTCTTGGAGACTATCATCCCAGCGACACTTTTGGCGTTTTTCTTCATAGCATTGGCAATTTTAGCATAAAGAGTAATCACAGTAAAGATTGGGGCTATCTGGTTGAGAAAAATTGGCAAAATGAGGCGATACACGTAGCTGAAGAGATTTCCTAAGTCCTTTGTTTTAACAGTGTGGCAGAGGTCTGTAGAGTTTGCTCTGCAGCTTGCAAAACCGACTACATCGGCTTCAAAAAACTTTGGGGTTTGGTACACTATAACCAAAAAAATCATGACGTATGAACGGCGACGCCATTTGGAGACGGTACGACTTTGAAAGGTGGATATTGGCTTGGTCATAGCCAAATATCTATCATAGGCGACCATGATTACAAAATAATGCGAAGATAGCTTTGAGACTAAGAGGATTGGCCAAATATACTTGATGTACGGCTGGACAGAGACAAAATACCATGGCACCCAGCCCGTGTATACGTTAAGAGCAGGTAAGGATACACAAATCACGAAAGTAAGCAGAAAAAGGTTGCCCATGACGGCAATCCATGTCAATAAGTAAGTGGTGGACGTGAGTGTTTTCTCTTTAGAAAATGTCAACACTGACATGATGTTGAAAATAATTCCTGTTATGCAAATAACATTGCTTGCCACTCCAAGAATACAGAATATAAACAGGTTGAAGGGTGTTTTACCATGTGCTGTGTTGAACACAACGTCATTTTTGAATCCCCCTAAATCAACCGTCAGATTGAATGAGTTGTTATCTGGCTGTGACCAGTTCTCCATTGGACTTGCTTGCTGCCAAACTGAAGTCGTTTTGTTATTTATTTAAGGCATTCCTTCACGGGGGCATCATCTGTGAAGGTATTTGCGAACAACTAAATGTCTTAAACTTTTTTAAATAGTTAAACTGTTGGTAACGCTGTAGAAGATATCATCCGATGCATAGGGGTGCCATAAACTTTTACCCGTTAAATTTCCGGTAACGCAGTAGAAAACATAGCCTAATACTTAATAATGCAGTCAAATTTTTACCTATAAGGTGTTTGGTCTCCGCCCTTTGGTTTGCAAGTAATGGAGCTTTAGTAAAAATCCCTATTCTGCACCCTTCAAGAATCCATGATTTCATCTAAGACATTTCTCATTTCGGCAAAGATTTTATACCAAGGCGCATGCTCCTCATAAATGTCTTAATAAAAGTCCAATTATCTTCTTGATTAACGCAATAAAGTCAAGAATTAGGCGTGAAGATTAGGTATTCATTTGGATAATAACGGACCTTTATTATGTACAGGAAACTGTTTTACCTAATTTGTTTTAATTCCAAAGTTATGAGTGTGGTTTTGATGAAAATCGCAATAATTGCTTTTTCCCTCGGCGCTTTTCTAATATTTTGGTAAACAAAATGCTTGCCTGAATGAATGAATATGTATACATTTATAGATATAGAGTATTCAAAATAATAACTAATAAATAAAAATAAAAATGAAATAATAAATAAAAAACGAAAGCAAAATAGAATTTAAAAAATGAAAAATTTGTTGAATCAGCTAGATTTGCATAAGTTGCTTTTTTTCGAAAAATAAAATCAATCTGACTTGCTCATCTGATTTTTTTTTTTGACTGAACAAGATTAATGTTTTTTTTTTCAAAACTAGCCATTAAACCTATCTTACAATCCATCACGTATGTAACCTGCACCATAGATGGCTACTCCTATACTAATCGCTTAAGAGATTATTACAAAATGGAAGTTAAACTGTAAGTTACACCATCATGTTCCAAAAAGCCAAACGTTTTAGAAAAAAAAAAAAAAAAAAGAAAAGAAACAGGGACTATAGCTTTGAATGCCAGAACGGATTCACGAACCATTGGTAAGTGTGGAAAAATGTCGTTTACCCCTGGAGAATACATTTTTTGTTGGCCCAAATGAACACTTGTTATCAGTTAAATAAAATTGTTTGGGTGAAAAAAAGCATATGGAAATGAGGGTTATCTGTATCACCACAGGGAATCCAATATTCATGTTTACACATATTCTACGTGTATCTCGCAATTCAGTTGAAATAGCTTAAAGTGCGTCCAGTGGAGAAGAAAATAAAGGAAGCAGGATGATCACATGAACAAGTAGAACTCAGGTCAAAGGCAGGACGCACTGGAAGTCTCAGATAATAAGCTTAGGCTGCAGGCTGCTAGGCTGCACAAAGAGTATCAAGTAAAGGGGTTTAAGAATTTGTGTTAACATCCAATGCAACAAGCACATTTTGGCAATATTCTGAGACACCGTAAACAAATGCTTTCGTTAACTAATATTTTAAATACCTGTAGAAGGAAGTAAAAATCATGTCACCTTACTGTGCCATTTCCCATTTGC